CTTAACTTTTTTATTTTTATTAGTATGGGAGGTGCTAAAAGCCTAAAATATTAATATGGGTTAGGAGTTAAATCAAGTACCACCGTTGCTTTGTTTGGAGTTGGTGTGTTAGAGATATATAGTATTTGATTAGCATAAAAATTACCAACATCTACTGAAATGAATTGTTTAAAAATGTCTTCCACAATGGTGGAGACATTAAATAAATTGCTACTTTCTCCGCCCCACTAAGTAGCCATTTTATTTTAGTATATGGTTTTGATTATATTATGTTTCGATTGTGATATTGCAATGTAACAACGGAATGTAATGCGCTCTCGCAATGTAACTGATACTAACTCACTAAATAATAAACTCGGTACCAAACCAAAATTTTAAGATTGGACCAAACCAAAACAAATTTAATGTATCATGAAATACAAACCGAAGAGTATAATTGATTATCAATCCTTAACTAAACATTCCAAATGAGCTCGTTTGACCCACTAATGAAGTACGTTTGACCCAATAATAATCCAATAGATTCATTTTAATGAAGTTAAAAACTTGGTTTTGTTGATTAATCGATGTTAAAGTTTAAGAATTACAAAACCTTTATAATCTTAAACGAGATCTTAAACCAATATTTTATTATATTTTCTTTGGTCGATTGTTTCAAATAACTAATAGCACATAATAATAGTACAATAACTTGAAGGAAATGAAGAGCAAAAAAATGGAGGTAAGGTTGTGTAAAAGAATGATAAAGAGGTATGAATCAGAAGTCTGCAGAGCCAGGTGATCGCGGGAAAGGAATAACGTCTCTGATATTATCAATTCCAGTGGCAAACTGGACCAGCCTCTCAAACCCTAGCCCGAATCCTGCATGAGGAACTAACACACACACACACAATAACAGAAACCACTTAATCAGCCTCCATATTTCTATCTTTTGTTTCCCTTTCTTAATCACTGAAAGAAAGATTCAAGGAGAAAGAATGAGACCTGAACCATAGCGACGGAGATCAAGGTACCACCAGTAGCTCTCTTTGTCAAGTTTCAACTCATCAAGCCTCGCTTCCAACACTTCAAGCCTTTCCTCTCTTTGGCTTCCACCTATCAGCTCCCCTATCTTTCCTTACCCAAACCCAACATCATTCGTTAAAAACAACTTCATCTTATCTAACAACTTTTCGTTTGGTTTTACTAATATTAATCTTACACGAGGCACGAGCATATCCATTGCTGCTACTGTCTTCCCATCATCATTCTCACGCATGTAAAATGCTTTTATCTCCTTTGGATAATCTCTTATTATCACAGGGCGACCCCCAAATGCCTCTTCTGTTATGTACCTTTCATGCTCGCTCTGCAAATCCAACCCCCACTTCACCTAAAAGAACCAGATCTATTAGACACAGCATCCCCCATGTGAACCTATTCCAAAAGAAGAAAGTAAAGCCTCTTTACCGGGAATTCAAATTTCTTGTTTGCTTTCAGAAGAAGTTCAATGGCGTCTGTGTAACTCAGCTGAAGAAAATCTTTCTCAACTACGTCCTTTACAAGTTAGATATCATAATATCAGCCAGTGCAAAACTACAAAAACATTCTTTTAGGATCACAAAGTGAAAATCAGAGGACATACACTTAAGCGATGAATGATTCCTTTCTCAATCCATGTATCAAAAAACTCCATGTCTTCCTTGCAATTATCAAGAACGTATTTCACCTATCAAAAACATCAAGAGATAGATTACAGTGAGAAAAAATTCTAGATGAAGCTACAAAACTGACAAGCTCATATAACAGTGAGAGCGCAACATACGACGTACTGGAGGTAGGCGGTGGCACAGGCCATGTCATCATCCAGGTCGGCAAAAGCAATTTCTGGTTCAATCATCTTATATCGTAGAAAGAGGTCTTTAACAAAGTGCACATAGGGAAAGAAAACATCAATTGTGAGGAGGATGTAAGTAATGCTGACCCAGAATTCAGCCAAATGCCTGGAAGTGTTGGAGTTCTCAGCTCTAAATGTAGGACCAAATGTGTATATCTGTTTAGTCACTCAATACAGATGAGAAACTCAAAGACTAGCCACAACATAGCTCACAGATCACTTAAGGAAGTAAACTTTTACATCAGAGAGAGCGGTCGCATAAGTTTCTCCATTGAGTTGTCCAGAGACGGTCAAAAATGCTGGTTTCCCAAAGAAGTCCTGAAGAGTGAATACAACCATGAAATCTGTTACAGTCTGCAAGTTACCATTCTTAAGATAGAAAAAAAAGATTAGAGCCGGAACAATACCTGAGACCAATCAACCAACCCTCCCTTTGTTTTCGGAATTGCATCGATGGGTGAATCAATGGTCTCATGGGAGCTGGGAATCTAAAACGAGAAGTACACTTTAGTTGTAGTTATATCCTTTAAGTTGAGAGACGTAGTACTTGTGGAAAACAATCAAACTGTTAATGGGCTACTATTACAGAGTATTTTGATGGAGAGAGCTTAAGTCCCTTACGAGTGTGGTGACACAGAACTGTTCACCAGCTCCTTCACAATCCGAGGCTGTAATAATAGGGCTTGCCACCCAGACAAATCCACTTTCTTGAAAGAACTTGTGTGTAGCATACGCCAAAGTATTCCTAACTCTAGCCACCTGAAACAAGATGTTCAAGAACACATGATTATTTCTCCACCTGAAAAAAAAAGGAAAGTTGCCCTCAGAAGGCAATCGACTAAAAAAGAAAGAAAGAAACATTACGGCACCAAAAGTATTAGTTCTGGGACGTAGATGAGCCTTAGTTCTCAAAAACTCCCTACTAACCCTCTTCTTCTGAATAGGATAGGAAGAGTCACACTTTCCAACCTAATGATAAAAAGTGACAAAACATTCATTTAAAAAAAAGAAAAACATATACTTCCAAATCAAAAGAAACTTAAAAGAAGCAAAAAGACAGTACCAGAATAATTTTGTCAACCTTCAGCTCCACCTTTTGCTTACTCCCTTGGCTAGCCACAATAGTACCTCGTACATACACAGATGCTCCAGTCAAAACCGAACCAGCTTCAACCTAATGTCATAAACCAAATGAAAAAAAGTCTACTCTTCATTTCAAATTAAAACAAAACATTGTTTATTACCTGATCATACCCCTCTGCTTCATGATTCATCACACATTGCAAGTTGGATAAGCAAGAACCATCATTTATCTCGATGAATGTGACACTGCTCTGAGACCGAAGTGTCCGGACCCAACCCGTAATGCTGAGTCTCTGCCCGACCCGGCCCAGACCTTCCTCTGCTCCTCCTTTCACTTCAGATATCCTCAGCTTCTTCCTAAAGTCTCCGACTTTACTCCCAAATCGATTCTCCTGATTGACTCCTTCACCGGAACTGGGAGATTGAGTGCAAAAGCATCTCCGGCGAGAAATGGCCGGAGAAAGTTGAAAAAGGGGGCGGCGTAGAGGGCGAGAAAGGGAGTGAGTAGAAGGGTTATTAGAGCTAGGGAAGAAGGATAAGTATCGGAGAGTAGAGAATGGAGTGAGACGGAGAGACGTCGCCACCGCCATTGCACTTAGCCGGCGGTGATTTGAAGTGGTTTTTTGTGTTTGATAAATGAATTCTCCGTTTGGTTTCGTATCATCATTGAAAATTGGGCCTGGATATTACATACTTAAGCCCATCTTTGAAAATTGGACCTAGGAATAAGCTGAAAGCAAATCAAAGAAACCACCTAATGGTTCTATCGTACTATAACACCGTTAAAAACTCCAAAAACGTCCGTTTCGTGTATGAATATAAAATTATGGTTTTGGGATTTAGAAAGTATATTTTAATTTAGAGTAGAATTGTTCACAACAAGTCAAGATGGCCGAGTTGGTCTAAGGCGCCCGCTTCAGGTGCGGGTCCGAAAGGGCGTGGGTTCAAATCCCACTCTTGACAATTTATTTTGTATTTTTCTTTTTTTTTTGCTATTTATTTCAATCCTTTTGATGACAAAGCTAAATTAATAAAAAAAGTAGAGAATATCGTATATGTAAATAGAAAATCATAATATCCAAAGTTTAAGATAAAATATATAATATGCAAAGCTTGAGCCACAAAAAGTAAAAATTATACTAATATATGTTGGATCAAGCGGGTGGAGGGTCACGCAAAATGAACAGTGAGGCTCGATGCTCAGCTCTAGAATGGTTGACTACGAGGAAGAAAACTAAGCCGACACGTGGAGAAAAAGGTCCCACATCCACATGGTGGCAGTTGAGATGTTGACCAAATGACCCAAAACCCAACCCAACTAAGTAAAAGGTTCTCTCATAGACCGGTGAAGTTGCTCACCTGCATTCACTCCTCTTTGCCTCTAATGTCCTTTCCTTTTTGTTATTATACTCATATCTCCCCATTCATTGTTCCACCTATTAGGCTATTAGTGCAAGTACAAGACAATAACTCCAAACATAATTAAACTCTAACACATTCAATTATTTACTTACTTTTAGGTTTAACAGGCCTACCCAATAGTAGTTGTAATATGTACATAGACAGAGAAAGAGAAGTAATGGTAAAGAAGTTGAGTTGGTGGAAACAAAGGCAGGCGAGACAGGTGTGAGCCGGTTGTTGTTGACCCTGCTTGATCATTAGCTTTTTGTGCTCAAATTTATATATGAATTAGCATCAAAATCTTATGATGTAACTTTTTTTTCTTGTTTTGGGCGAACATTACTAACCCATTTAAGTTTCACTAATTACCCTCTGTAAACTAGTTTTGTTCCTCATCTTTTTTTTTAGTCTAGCACTATAGTTGCATTGCATCTAATATTGTATAGATCCAGACACTATGACAATAATTCTAACATAAAAACATCATTCACACTACGTAAAGAAAGAAATGATAGCAGCTAAAACGTAATATGAACTAAACAAAAAAAAGTGTAATAGAAAAGTGATGATCTGTATTAGACAGCTTAACCAACAAAGCTAACCCCACTTTCATTTCATATTTAATATCTCTTTCTCTCCTCTTCTTTCTTCAACCATCTGCTTCTCTTAACATTCTGTATCTTTTTTTTTTTTACTATCTCAATGATGAAGTTCTTGAATCAACTCCTCTGTCTCTCTCTTCTCCTCTCCATATCCATGACTACTCTATCCTCTGCTCAGACATGTTCCAAATACAAATTCTCCACCAACAATGTCTTTGCTTCCTGCAACGACCTCCCTTTTCTTGACTCTTTCCTCCACTACACTTACGACTCTTCCACCGGCACCCTCCACATCGCCTACCGCCACACCAAACTCACCTCAGGCAAATGGGTCGCTTGGGCCGTGAACCCAACGTCGACAGGAATGGTGGGAGCTCAAGCCATCGTGGCTTATCCACAATCAGACGGCTCTGTCAGGGTTTACACTTCTCCTATCAGAAGCTACCAGACGAGTCTACAAGAAGGTGATTTAAGTTTCAACGTCTCTGGACTGTCTGCTACTTATGAGAACAACGAGATGGTTGTGTTGGCGAGTCTGAGTCTTGCAAAGGAGCTAGGGAAGGGTGGAACCATTAACACTGTGTGGCAAGATGGTTCAATGTCTGGGAACAGTCCTTTGCCTCATCCAACTTCTGGCAACAATGTTCGCTCTGTGTCAACTCTCAATGTGGTCTCTGGTGTTTCTGCTGCTGCTGGAGGAGCTGGAGGAAGCTCCAAGCTCCGTAAACGCAACGTGAGTTGATTCTTTTTTTTATTATAAAAAAATACAGAGAATAATGATTGGTTTTGGTTATAAATTATAATAGATACATGGAATATTGAACGCGGTGAGCTGGGGAATCATGATGCCAATAGGTGCAATCATTGCTCGTTACTTGAGAGTTGCTAAAGCAGCACGCCCTGCTTGGTTCTACATTCACGTTTTCTGCCAAGCTTCTGCTTACGTCATCGGTGTTGCTGGATGGGCCACTGGTCTTAAACTTGGTGGTGACTCACCAGGGATCCAATATAGCACCCACCGTTCTATTGGGATTGCTCTTTTCTCCCTAGCAACAGTCCAGGTACAATAATAATAATAACACACTTTTACATCCAAAAGAAAACCAATAATATATAAGCTGAATCATTTCTTGTGTTACTTGTTTAGGTGTTTGCGATGTTTCTGAGGCCGAAACCAGAGCACAAACACAGGCTATACTGGAATATATACCACCACTCAATAGGCTACACGTTGATCATTCTTGGGGTGGTGAATGTGTTTAAAGGGTTAGACATATTGAATCCTAAGAAGCAGTGGAAGAATGCTTACACTGGTATCATCGTTGCTCTCGCCATTGTGGCTGTTCTGCTTGAAGCCTTCACTTGGTATGTGGTTATTAAGAGAAGGAAGCAAGAGGAATCTGCTAAGTCAGCCCCACATGGAGCATCCAATGGCAATCGGTCTCAGTATGCTTAAGACTACTAGCACTAGAGTTGTTTCCTTTTTTCTCTGTGCATAGAGAGTGTTTGTTTTATGGTTTTATCTGCTTATCTATCCATTTTCAGTAGGTTAATTTCGAGTTCCCATATACATTTATGATTTTATTGAGAAGTGGGGCTTTTTGCCTCTTTTTTCCCTTCTGAACGTAGACAAATAATGATGCCATTTTATTTTATTAACAACCTTTCTTATAGCTGCAATACGCAATCACGGTTGATGAGAGTATTTATTATGATCCAATTGACACAAAAACAAAGTGTGAGAGACATTATCATATCATCACATCATTCTTCTGTTTAGTTAAAGGTTTACAAATTCAAAAGTTGGTATCATTCACTAACCTAGAACTGTTTACCGTAAGGTATGTATTTCAAAATTACCCTTTCATCACATCATTCCTCTGTTTTTTAAAGAACTCAAAAGTTGGAGTCATTCTGCATAAACAAGCATGTACATATAATGATATAACACACATCATACCTCATAAACAAAACAAAAATAATTATAAATATTGAAGCAGATAGATAGAGAGAAGATGATGTTCAGAGTCCCAACTGGCTCTGCATCTCCAATATAGTCTTTGCCGATTCCTGGAGCTTCTCAGCCTCTTCATCAGTCATATGCACATTAGTCACAGCCACCACACCGTTACGTCCAAGCAAAGCCGGGAGACTGAGGAATACATCACCACCGTCAACACCATAAAAGCCACGAGCAAGTACCGTCACCGGGTGGATCTTACGCTGGTCTCGGAGGATGGTACGAGCCAGGTTAGCAACAGAGTAGCCAATGGCCCAAGAAGTGTAGCCCTTGAGTCTAATAACTTCATAGGCACTGCCAACGACGGTCTGGTGAATGTCCTCAAGGGTTTGTTTCTCGTAAGCGATCTGTTGCTTCTCCAAGAAGCTTAGTACAGGGATGCCTCCCACACTTATGCTTGACCATAATGCTACAGAGCTATCTCCATGCTCTCCCACGATGAATGCCTACAACAACAACCATATGAGACACTATACAAACTAGGCCTGAAAAAAGAAACCAAACCCGAGATCCAAACTGTAAAAACACTTGACTAGATCATCCTACATAGTATAAAATACTCCCTCCGTTTCTTTTTATACAATGTTTTAACTTGATGCACAATGATTAAAAAATTACATTATTTTAAAAACACTTTCAAATATATAATTATAAAATCATTTAATCAATTATAAAAAAGACAGTAAAAATTTATTGATTGACACCTCAAAACTTTAAAACGTTTAATATTTTGAAACAATATAAACCTTCTAAAACATCATATAATTTGAAAAAGAGATAATATTATTAAACAAAATCAACACTAAAAGATTTGAAAAATCAGAGAATAACCAGAAAGCCCGACATGACTATGTGATTCATTACCTTAAATAAGTATTTAAATCCATTTCATATGTTATAATTTGATATTTATAAATATATATGAACTATATTATTAAAATATTTATAAATGGACTTGAAATGAGTTAAGTTCTAAAACATATCTTAAAAATATCTACAAAAACTAACAAAACTTGAAATACTATTGACCCAATCCTATTCCAACACGTATAAAATTTGAATAGATCCTAGAATGTTGAACTCAAAACCATAAAAAAAAAAAAAAAAACTATTCGAAACCTGAACTGCTACACAAACGTGAATGGCCCATGCCAACTACAAACCCCTAATCCTCTAAAACCGGAAACTGACCTGCACATCCTGAGCATTAACGTCGAGATGATCCGCAATCAAGAACCTAAACCGAGACGAGTCAAGATTCGTACCAGACCCAAGCACCCGATTAACCGGAAAACCAGAGAGCTTCCAAGCAACGTAAGTCAACACATCAACAGGATTAGAGACAATAAGTAAAATCGAATCAGGAGACGACTTCGCGAGCGGAGGAATAATATGACGAAAGAGAGCAACATTCCTCTGAAGTAGATTAAGCCTAGACTCCCCCGGATTCTGCCTAGCACCGGCCGTGACGATGCAGAGATCCGATCCTGCGGTTACGTCGTAGTCAACAGAAGCTGTGATTTTGGTGCGGGGGAGGAAAGCAGCGGCGTGCTGGAGATCGAGCATCTCGCCACGAAGCTTGTCAGGCTTGGCGTCGACGAGTGCGATCTCGTCGGCGAGATCTTGAGTGAGGATGGTTTGAGCGATGGCCATGCCGACGTTACCGACGCCGACGACGGAGATTTTGGTGCAGCGGTTGGAAGGGATTGGAGGGTCGGAGTTGTGGATGGGTTTGAAGAAGGCGTTGGTGAGATCTAGCCCGCTGGACCGAACGATGAAGCGGATGCGTTTGTCTGTTCCATTACAAATCAATTTTTTTTGTTTTTTGGTATGAATGTCTGAGTGGGAAGTGTACTATTGTAGTATTTGTAGGGGAAAATGAAGAATATTACATTTTACATTTTTGTCCCTTTATTTCGAAATTAAAAAATACACTTATCTTTGATTTGTACTTCTTCCCTCTGTGTTTTCTACTTTACACATATTAAGAAAAATTAACATACAGTACTTTATTCTATTTTTCATATTTTAATTAGTTTAATATTTTATTTGTTTTTCAATAAAATTCAACAATCATAGTTTTATTTTTATTATATTTTACTTTTTTACTATAACACTAATTTTTAGAAATGTACAAACAAAAGCAAAAAGATCAAATATTTAAATCTAGAAGAGATACTATTGATCTTAATATTTGCTCGTCTAATTTAATAGTATGGATGGTCTGAAACAGAGCGCAGCCCACTGTTTGGGTGGTTGTTTAACCTTTAAGCAATTTTTTTGTTCTTAACATGGTTTTACAATTTTAGAATCCTCTTAACGAAAACCTTTAGAAGAATCAAAAGCTGCTTTTGTTGACATAGTGAAATTATTACTTGCATCGGTCTAAGTGACTTGCTAACTTTGCTATTGCAAAGATCCAGAAGATTGAATAGTATAAAAAGGTCCAAGTTGAAAAAAAAGAAGGTCCAAGTCTTCAATTTATTTAAGAATTAAGACCAAACACCAAACGTTACTAATAACTTTGACAATGCAGCTGCTTGTTATTTATTCTTTTATGCAATTTAAGATGAATGGCAATGGCATGACGGATGCAAGTTTTGGAAGAGTCATATTTGCTTGTCAAGAAAGAAAAGTTAATAGTTTGACGTGTGCATCAACCGACAAAGAATGCATATTATTGCTAACCAACTTGGTTCTAATTATGACGTACGAAAAGGTAATTTAACTATTTAAACTTAACATATTAAGTGTTGTTAATGTAAGGTGAGAATGAGTTCACGTGTTACATTGAGAAGAAGGATGAGTGAAAGAGATACAAAAGAGATACAACTATTGATTTGAGATAACTTTCAGTCTCTGATCCATTCATCAATATTTGCCACTTTGTGATGAGATAGAGGCATATATCAACTAGCTCAGCTCTTTGAGAACAATTCGCAAGGTGTAATAATTTGGTCTTTTCTATAGTTCTAAAGTTTGGAGATGTTAGCTAAGTCTCCATCAATGTCTAACTTATTAAGGGAGAGCAAGGTTTGATGTTAGGACGAGCAACATCAATACTCATCAATGGAACCGCCCACAAATTAGGTGGCTCTCCAGTCTCCAGAGTCCAGTGAAGCGCGCCCTCGTTGCTGTCAAAATTATAAAAATGGTGGGAGTTGTTGACGGATTGTTTCTTCCGAAGTGGTATGTGGGCTTCAATCTAAAAAGGCTTTTATATGGGCTTACGTCTCCGTCTCCGTCTCCGTCTCCCACCACACGATCTGCACAAAACCAATTAAAAATTAAAGCTGGTTTGATTAATTTTTTGAAGAACCGGTTTAGCCACTTCACTCTTTCCCCCATGGAAAAATCTCAGGCCAATTTGTCGTTTTCTCAGGCCAATTAGGGTTTCTGTTGTGTTCCTTGATACACACATTGCTTCTGCAAGCTTTCAAATTTGATTTTGCTTCTAAAGTTCAAAACTTTCCCTTTCCGATTAGAGCTTTTGATCATCGATATGGTGTTTAGGCTTCTGGGTCCTTCGTCTGTAATCCATCGTCACACCAAATCAATCCCACTCTTAATCCGAAGATTCTCCTCCCTTCCCTCAACTCGAAAAGACCCCGACCTCGAATCCGCTCTCACACGCAACAAGAGATGGATAATCAACAGCCGTCTCAAAAACATCATCCTACGCTGTCCCAACCAAACCGCACCAGTCAAGTTCCTACAAAAAAAGTTCAAAAGCCTCGACCTTCAGGGAAAAGCCTTGAACTGGGTCAAGAAATATCCTTGCTGTTTCGACGTTTATCTCGAGGAGGAGGACAATGAGTATTACTGCCGTTTAACCAAGCCCATGATGGCTCTTGTGGAAGAAGAAGAGGTTGTTAAAGAGGCCCAAGAGGGTGTTTTGGCGGGTAGGCTTGCGAAGTTGCTTATGATGAGTGTTGATCAGAGACTTAATGTTGTGAAGCTTAATGAGTTGAAGAGGAGTTTTGGGTTTGGTGATGATTATGTTGTTAGGATTGTGGGGAAGTATGGTGATTTGTTTCGGTTGGTTAATTATAGTGGGAGGAAGAGTTCGTTGGAGATTGAGCTTTTGTCTTGGAAGCCTGAGTTAGCTGTTTCCGCTGTGGAAGTAAAGTGTGGGTCTGAGGAGGTTTGCTTCTCTTGCTCCTTGCCGACCACGTGGACTAACCCGTGGGAGAGGTTTTTGGAGTTTAATGCGTCTCCTTACGTATCACCGTATCAAGAAGGTAAGGATCTTGTTGTGGAGGGTGAGAAGGAGAGTGAGAAGAGGAGCGTTGGTTTGGTTCATGAGTTGCTGTCGTTGACGCTGTGGAAGAAGATGTCGATGGTGAAGCTGAGTCATTTCAAGAAGGAGTTTGGGTTGCCTGAGAGGCTGAACGGTATGCTTTTGAGACATCCGGGGATATTCTATGTTTCTAATAAGTATCAGGTTCACACTGTGGTTCTTAGGGAAGGCTATGATGGGTCAGAGTTGATTCAGAAAGATCCGCTTGTTGTTGTGAAGGATAAGTTTGGGGAACTGATGCAGCAAGGGTTGTATGAGTATAATCGGAGAAGATATTTGGCTAATCTGGAGAAGAAGAGAGAGAAGGGTATTGAATCTGTGAAGTCTGTGGTGAGAAAGAGAGACATGATTGACCATGGGGATGATGTTGATGATGAACAAAAGAACCATGGGGATAGACCAGGTGGTATGTTTGATCCAGAAGAAAGAAAAAGGTTCTATCAGATTCTTTTCAGTGACTCCCAATAGAGAGCATTTTGGTAAAAGTTGAAACATTATGCGCTGAGGAATTGCTAAAACTGCAGTGACTCTTGGGACAGACAGCTTGTTTTTCCCATGTGAATTTAGAGCATATTGTGATATCGATAGCTTAACGCAAAAGCACAATGTCTCAGATATGGCAAGTTCAGATGATACAGCCGCATTGGAACATAGACAAACACACATATCATGTCTTGTTGTGTTTATAGAGAAAGAAGTAAAAGAAGGCATGAGACGTGGATAGGTCGTGAGAGTGAAAGAGACCACTTGAGTTATGAAGAAGATAAACATTTTTGTAGACCAAATAACCTACTGTTAATGCTTTCCCTTACTACCAAGGCAACTCTATAGTTCCCTGTTTTCTTAATTCTCAAATGCTCATTTTTGTTCTCTTGTTTTAAACACTTTTCTTTGAAAATACTGTGAACCAAAAGATTTGGTTTTCTAATCATAGTTTGTGTAGAGAATACTTTATACCGATACTCTTTTCATCATTTTCTTCTCTATATATCATCAAACATATTTAATCATTCTCTAGATTCTATTCCCATTCCATTGCTTCTACCACAATTGCCTCCACTGGATCCACTAATATAACTCTGATTCTGGTTTCTTTTAATAAAATGCAGCTCTTACCTGTCGCTGAACTGTATGCACAATACTAAAAGACAAAAAATGGTTATGATAAGTATAATTGAACAAAAAAGAATTCTGTCAACGTATATTGAATAATTTATATGTCTCGAGTTCAACGTCAAAACAATGTTATTAAATGAACAGTTGACAAAAATTCAAATAAACACACACACAAAAAAACGGTTAAATCTTACTTATAGCCCATCATGGGCCCAAAACAGATGAAAAAGTCCATATTAGGTAAGAAACAAAGAACAAAAATTTGAATTTTGAAGAGTGAGAGTGGTGACACTAGAAACCAAATATTCCCTCTGCTTCTTCATCTCCCACATTTTCAAAATCACACACAGATCCTCCCCTCCCTACAGTCTTCTTCACAAGAAAAAAAAATGGCAGCTAGATACAACTCTTACGATTCAAGATCATCCTTATCCTCCTCCCTCCAATCAGATCCATCTTCCTCCTCCGAATTCAAATCCAACAAGGCCATCGTCAGATCCAAATCTTCCTACTTAACCAAAACATCTAAACCAGACACTAATCCTGGTAACCTCACTTCTATGATGAAGAAGCTCATGGAGATGAAGAAGAAATCTAACCCCAAGTCCAAAAGGGCCGAGCTTTTGATTCCCCATGAACTCAAGAAGCTTGACAACACTGTTCGAGTAGGAGGAGGGAAGGGTAGTACGTTGGGAGCTTTGCAGAGGAAGCTGTTCGGGAAGGAGAAGGAAAAGGTGAAGGCTTTGAGTGAGGTTAAAGTGAACACGAGGACTCTCTCTATGGTTTTGAGAAGCGAGAGGGAGCTTCTGAGTATGAATAAGGATCAGGAGATTGAGATCTCTGAGCTTAAGTTTCAGCTTCAAGAGAAGAACAGAGAAGTAAATAGCTTGATTTGTATTAATGGGTTCTTTAGCAAAGTTGATTAGTATATTGGATTTTGGATAAAGTTTAGTTTTTTTTTATTTGGGCAGGTGGAGAAGTTGAAGGATTTGTGTTTGAAGCAAAGGGAGGAGATAAAGTCGCTGAAGAGCGCGCTTCTGTTTCCAGATGGGATGAACAGTGAAATGCAGGAGCTTAATGAGGCGAGGCAGATCATCCCTAACCTTCAAAAGCAGGTTCTTTCACTTAATGGCCAGCTCCAATGCATTGCTCAAGACCTTGCCGAGGTACTAATAGTTAAATTTTTGTTTTGTTTCTATGATTAGTGGAAATCATGTGATGTTGTGAGCCTTGTGGTCAGTAAACTTACCTTAGGTTGTTTGTAGTATACCACGGCCCAGTGCTGACACTTGACAGTTCATAAACTGTAGTTTAGTCATAGAACTAACCTTAAGCTTAAAAGGAAGTTTAGGGGGGCACAAGAGGTTATCTAGAATCATTTGGATTTAGGGAGATTTGAGGCAGTCTCGAGTCATTACTATTTCGGTTTGCCATTTTGATCATCCATTCTTCTTGTAAACGGTGAAATTAAGGAGGATTGACAAAAGAATAATTATGTTACTCTTGGGAAGTGTATTCAGGGCATTGCTGCAGCAACAGTTCAATACTATATATACCTCTGTGTAGTATTGTCTGATAATAAACACAATTGGTTCTTTCTTATCAGGTGAAGGCGAACAAGTACATGTCAGAAAGCTGTTACTGGCAAGCACAGACGTCTTCCTATGATTCACTGGTAAGCAAAGAACTTTGAAGAGTCTAAGTTTGGAAACCAACAAACATATACTGGCAAGGGTCTCATTATTATTGAATGCATAACAGGAATTCAGTTCAGGCAGCCCTGATAGATTAGCTCTGGAAGATCTGAATCCATGCTTAACTCCTTATGCCAAGACAAAACCCAAGGTACTTGCTTCAGTCTTCACCTTGAAATAAAAAAAAGGTTAGGGTGTTGTTCATTGGCTCACAAGGTAGACGAGACTTTAAAACTTTTGATATGTCTTCTTGCACAGGAGTATGAGAGGGTTGATTCAGCAGAAGAGAGCTTATCAGGGAGAAGTACTGTAACAACTACAGGAGGTAAAGGCAAATCGAGTTCTAAAAGTGTGAAGATGTCAAGGAGCTCAGAGGGAAAGGCAGGACGGAGATCAGAAGAGAGCAAAGGATGGCATAGAGGTGGGAGAATGTTTTAAGGTAAAACAAAAATGGTTCAAAATTAATGTAAGGTTGCACACCTTCTTCCACTTTGGTATATGTTATGTCTCTTGCTCTCATTCTCAGAGGGTATTTTGGTTTTGGTTGAATCATGTGGAGACATGATCCAAGATTGAGTTGAACAAGTTAAAGTAAAAAGTGTTCTGTAAAATAGAAGACATTTTAAAATAAGATAAGGTATTATTATAGATGAAGGCAGAGAGATCAGATTCGTTTCCTTTGCATTCTATTCTTCTCAATTTGATGAAATGATAAAATCATCATTAATATAGAATCAACATATTAAGAAAGATCATCAAGCAAAGACGTGAGACAAACAATATTAATTCAAGTTGTATAAAGAGATAAAAAGTTCAAACGCTAACAACTGTTTAACCAAGAATCGTTATCATTTTATACAACTAACTATGAGATTTACCTAAGTAACAACTTCACTCACCAGTACGGAGTATGATTATGCGTTATTACGTCTCTTGCTCCTACGTAAGCCTTTCTTGTTTGAAAAACGTCAGCCTTTTCTTTTTTTTTTCTGTGGGTGAACGCAGTTTCACAGAAGTTGCTTTTATGCCAATAATATACATTTGTCTTTTCTTTTGGCTTTAGTCTTTCTTTATAGGACCAAAAAAGAGGGATTGGCAAAGTGAATAAACAAAGCAGTCATGTGATTCTGTCCATCCAGAGTTATGATAATTATAATACTTGTAAAAGGGAGTTGCAAATTTTCATCTTAGAAACTTCAAACTATAGTTGAATACTATAGAGAGAGAGACGAGGCAACTGTTTTTTCAAGGTATTTTTAGTGGAACATTATTACAGTATTTATTGATTTGCAAAACTTCAAGCTGTTGAAGTTTTGTCGGAAGGAATTGTTGTGTGACTTGTGTCCTAAATAAACGACGAGACAGAGTGCTATAGGAGATTGCATCTCTATAAAAGGGGGACGACAATTCATACTTTTCTATCACATCCTTCTCCCTTTTTTTTTTACCTTTTTATCTCTTCTCGAAACGCTAGAAAGAAAAAAGAAAAGAAAAGAAAACGTGTTAAATTAAAGATTTGTTTCTCTATTTATAGTCATGTTTCTGTTTTCCTCACCTTTCCAAGACACAATCTGTGGGGGCATAATTTTGCCATGCAATTCACATTTTTGTATCTCCATGTATGGTGGTGTATCTAAACATCTCTTTACAATATTAACTACCAAAAATTAAATGGAAAAGGACAGGTGTCAGAGGTTGAGAGGAGATTAGGAGGTTCCACGAATGTCCTTAATATCTAGGCCCTGGATTTTTCTCCTACGTATTATGTGATGTAACGCAAACGCGTTCTCTCTCTTTTCCCTATTTTGCCCTTCAAAGATACTCTTCTTTTTACGATTTTGCCACCCCACCTCCGTACAAAGGTTTACAAATTTTATGCGCCTCCTCCATGTGTTCTTCTGATCGAAAGAATTTAAGACATGAATGTATAAAAGTCTGCCGGTTGAAAATTCGTACGTTACAGAGATGTTGTATTTCCCGACAAAGAGTTACAAGGCAGACGCGAATTTTCGGAACTAGTTTTGATGCACAATAAATCTCTTTTGTTTCACCGTTTCTTTTGCATTGCTATCTTCATTTGTATGAATCTGTTTTCTAATTTGAGTATGTGTGGGTAAAATACTCTGATATATGCAACTTTTCTTTGGTAACTTAAGAATATTTCATATATATATATATATATGCAATTTTACTTATGCATACATCTTTACGAGTATTTCCAAACAAATTCGTTCATATGATAAATAGCTAAACAGAAAAAACAAATAGGATAAATACTATAAAATTCAGTAACAATATATATTGGAACTTAAATACCTCAATCAGTGTATACACGCTATAGCTAACTCATGGAAAAATTGTTCAGAGTCCCAAGTTTCGAATATCGGCTATATAAAAATGTTGCAATAACCATTTTACATGTTTTTGTCTCCGGCCCGAAAAGTGTACTACTACATATTGAGGTCTGGAGTTTCTTAATAAGACAAAAGTATATTTATGATTGTCCACATATACATATAAATTGTGTTAATATACACAACTTGAGATCATAAGAGAGTAGCAAACCCCTTTTTTTCTTTGACTATTAATACTATTGACAACTTGAGGGAGAAAATATAAAAATGACCAGTTAGTCTTCAACACAAATTTCAATGGGTCGATTAAAAAGAAAAAAAAAGTCGTTCTTTCTTTAAAAGAAAACTTTGGTTTTCTGAATACAAACAAAAACACACAAAATAAAATTAAAAGTATGACTTATGTACCTTATATTATACTCCCACAGGCTCATGTCAATGTATAAAGTTTTTTTCTTTTCGGAAATGTCAATGTATATAGTTTCTCATATGTCACTGATATAATCCCGTTTTCATTATTTGTAAGAGTAGCGTGTTTGTTTGGAGCTCTATTTAGTCCTATGATATCAGAGATACCCCTATTTTTTAGTCTTTAGAGTAGATTTTGAAATTCTTGTAAAAGTAATCATTAATGACTTTAGTCTTGAGCCAAAATATCAATAAAATTAAGTTCACTTAGAGCATCTCCAAAAGACACTATAACTTCAAATATGAAGTTTTTGGTTCTCCAAAAAGGAATTCTAAAACTTCAAATTTGAAGTTTTGAATAGTGAAACTTCAAATATAGAGTGTCACTACTCAAAACTTCAAATTTGAAGTTTCATATTTTATTTGCATTTATGTCCTTACAATTATACATTATATTTATAATTATTATATATTTTATGGTTTTATCATTTTAATTCTTACAAATTCATATCTCATAAATATTTCAATTTTCTTTTATAAATTTTAATTTTACTCATATTTTTTATTTTTTTAAAACAACAAGATAAGATTTAAAATAGTTAAATTAAAGCTAGACAAAAACAATATTACAAGAGTTAATGTGTTATTTTATTTATAGTTTAATATTTAATTATATATTTCTATTAATAATTTCATATTTTAGTGTAACATTTTATCATTTGATATTGCTGTAATATATTTATATATGTGTTAGTTATTTATAAAAATTATATGACTTTTAACTAGTTATGAGAAATATAAGGACCATAATATAAAATACAAATAATTTTAAAGTTTGGTTTGAAATTTTGCTTTTGGAATAAAACACCTACAAACTTCATATATAGAGTTTTGCAAACTCTAAAATAGAGTGTCTTTTTGGAGATACTCTTATTCAGATAAATATCCAAGTGGTTAAAGTATATTAAATTCAGTCATACATTATTATAGAGCCATCTTTATCTCATTTAATTCTATACTTTTGGCTATTTATGAAAACTATAGTAGCAAAAAAAACAATAAATTTTACAAGGCAAAAGTAGTGACAAAAGAGTAGAGAAATTACATGGCAAGCATACATAATTAATGAAGGAAACAGTGGCTAGCTACAACTGCCGTCCAAAAGTCAAAGGTCATAGTGGCATCTTAAGTAAATAAACGGAATAAAGTGGGCATTTTATAGACTCCATGACAATTTATATCCTCTTCTCCTTCTTCCTCACCAAGCTTTTGATTCTTGACTCTTACAAGCAAACCTTCTTCTTCTCTCTGTCCCCTTCCAACAATCTCCTCCCCCAATCATACAATCTCTCCTTAAGGTTAGCTTCCCTGATGATCTATGCACACACTCCTTTTTTTTTTCTCATCTCAAAACTATTTAATTCCATTAGTGTTTCTGTATTTAAAAATTGCTCCTTTTTTTTTGTTAGCTTGAATAAAACTGTATGCTTAGGTCTTTGAATCTCAGCTTTTATATGTGTTTTGATTGTTGGGTTTGAAGGATTTGACTTGTTTGATTTTGATTTAGTGCAATCGATTATATTATTATAATACACAGTAACCAAATTTGATTTGTCTATGTCTTGCGTTGGTTCTAAAGTACTAAACTTTATACTGATTAATGTGTAAAAATCATGACTTGGAACTTGATTTTGGTTTTTGTTTCAATCCAATAGTTGATCCCCTAATTTAGGGTTTGACTCCAACCTTTGGAACTTATTTGGTTTTGAAGAGAAAGAGTGGAAAGCTTCTATTTTTGGTAGTTAGAATCTTATGGTAGTAACAAAGAACCGATCTTTGTTTCCTGAAAGATGTTAGATCTGTGAGCAGAGTTGCAAGGACGCGTTTTTGGAACTTGACTTTACTTTTTCACTTCTATCACAAACCAAAGTGTCTGTCTTTACTTGCTTTACTCTGTTAGTATCTCACTTGTCCACTTCTCTTTCTTTCCATGGAGACAGGTTCAGCTCAAGCAAAAAGAGACATACATTAAGATAAAGAACAATCAATCAGAGTGTGTGTGTGTGTTGCTGAGTTCATTTTTTTCCAAATGCAAACGTCACAGAAACATCACAGTGCAGCTGGACTGCACATGTTGTATCCTCAAGTCCACTGTTCACCTCAGTTCCAAGTCATAGACAAGACGAAGAAGAAGAATGCCTTCTCTGACATCCCATCTAAAGAAAGCTTCTTCACTCTCGAATCCTCCACTGCTTCTGTTGGTCCTCTTCCTTCCTATGAGTCTCCTTCCGTGAGCATCACATCTGGCCCTAGCCCGTCCTCTCACTCACAGTCCTGCATCTCCTCTGATCTCCATCCTTCCCCTGAAAACGTGTATGGATCTCCTTTAAGCGGTGCGTCTTCTTATGTCTATGATGAAGCTGGGTTCAAGAGCAAGATCCGAGAACTTGAGGTCTCGCTGCTGAGCAGTGATCCCAAAGTTGAAGAATACTCAGGTTTCAGCCCCGTTGCTGGGAAGAGCTCATGGAACTGGGATGATCTCTTGGCGTTAACTCCACAGTTGGACTTGAAAGAAGTACTCCTGGAGGCAGCTCAGGCGGTAGCTAATGAGGACTTCGCTACAGCGTGTGGATTCATCGATGTTTTGGAACAGATGGTGTCTGTCTCAGGCACTCCGATCCAACGGCTTGGTACTTACATGGCAGAAGGGCTTAGGGCGAGGCTCCAAGGTACTGGTGGCAATATCTACAGAGCCTTGAAATGCAATGAACCAACGGGGAGGGAACTCATGTCTTACATGGGAGTTCTCTATGAGATCTGTCCTTACTGGAAATTCGCGTATACAGCTGCAAATGCTGCCATCTTGGAAGCAGTTGCTGGGGAGAAGAGAGTCCACATTATAGATTTTCAGATTGCTCAGGGATCACAGTACTTGTTTCTCATCCAGGAGCTTGCTAAACGCCCTGGTGGACCACCGTTGCTTCGTGTTACGGGCGTGGATGATTCACAGTCCAGGTTTGCTCGCGGTGGAGGGCTCAGCTTGATTGGTGAGAAGCTTGCAGATATGGCGCGGTCATGTGGCGTCCCGTTTCAGTTCCACGATGCAGTCATGTCAGGATGCAAGGTGCACCGGGAGCATCTCGGCGTGGAGCCTGGCTTTGCAGTCGTTGTGAACTTCCCTTACGTGTTGCACCACATGCCTGACGAGAGTGTAAGCGTTGAGAATCACAGAGACAGGCTGCTCCATCTGATCAAGAGCCTTGGACCGAAACTAGTGACTCTAGTTGAGCAAGAATCCAACACTAACACCTCTCCTTTCCTGTCACGGTTTGTGGAGACTTTGGATTACTACACAGCGATGTTTGAGTCTATAGACGCAGCGAGGCCAAGGGATGATAAGCAGAGGATCAGCGCGGAGCAACACTGTGTGGCGAGAGACATAGTGAACATGATAGCGTGCGAGGAGATGGAGAGAGTTGAGAGACATGAAGTGTTAGGGAAGTGGAGGGTTAGGATGATGATGGCTGGGTTCATGGGCTGGCCGGTTAGCTCATCTGCAGCTTTTGCAGCGAGTGAGATGCTTAAAGGTTATGACAAAAACTACAAACTAGGAGAAAGTGAAGGAGCACTCTGTCTCTTCTGGAAGAGGAGACCTATGGCTACATGTTCCGCTTGGAAACCAAACCCAAACCAGATTATGTAAGAGGACATGGTGGTTAACTGACAGTGGATGAACAATAAGAGCACACAATACACATCCTGTTTCCTGTAGATTTTTGAGGATGTGCAATGATGTTTTTAAGTTGTAACAAAAACTTTGCAAGTCATATGGTTATATATATGTATACAAAACAAACCTGGTGGTGGTTGTTTTTTCTGCTGTAAATTAGCTTTTGTTGTGGGATGGGTGCTAGTAATGAAATGAAATATAACCAGAGCTTTAATTATAAACCATTGTTCTATAATGTTGTGTAATACCAGAGGAGTCAAGTGGCGGCTGAACCAAAAGGTTTTGAAGTTTAAAAAAAATATTAAGACCAAATCTACAGGTCAGATTATGTTCTGTCTGATAAGCCTCAAAAAAGATTTCACCAACCCACAAAACCAAAGGGTGAACAAAGTCCAGGTCATCCATCACCTCCATTTTTATTCTTTTACTTTTATAAGGTTCAAGCTTTCTTTATATAATAATTAACATATATATAATTCTTTGCTAATGCTCTTATTATTGAATCATCCAATAAGTTAATAACCAAACCATAAGACTTGGAAGCAAAGAACAGAAGAGTCCCATTTTTTGAAAATCATTTTTTTTTTTAATATTCAAAGAGAGATATTGAGTGACTTCCACTAATACAAAGAAACCTTGGTTTGTGCAATGTTTTGCGGTTAAGCTATTAATTGCTGAGGCAACACCTTTTCACCCTATTGCTTTCAGTCTTCCAGGTTTCAACCTCTCACACTCTTTTTCAGCAATCAAACTACAAACCCACTTGGATAATGCATATGTAAGAGTTGACATTTATCTAATGAAGCTATTTTCTTTCAAAATTTTCATAATTGTTATCTGTTGTTTACCTACATTCATAGCCTAATCAAAAAAACTAATAAAGACTAAAGATATTACAAGAGAATATGATGTTTAGTTTATAAAAAAAAAAAGAGAAAGAAATGGTTTTCACCTAATGAAATACCACCAATCATTTGAATGATCTTTATCCTTATGATTAGTGTCTTTATATCTGTCATATGCTGCTTCTCCTTCCAACTCCTTTTGGATTATTCTCTCCTTCTCTTTGCTTTTTACTTATTTCTGTTTATTTTTAATTTCCATATTCGTCATTAACTATACCATTTGAGGTGGTAGAACAACATATCCCCCTCTTTCTCATTTTTTTTATTGTCACACTAAATAAAGAAAAATCCATCATATAACGTTGGAACATGAAAAATATGCACTAGTCGGTAACTATGATGATGAACCAAATCTGAAGGACAATAGAAGTAATAATTTGACAAAGAAAAGGTAACATCTTGAAAGCATTTTAGAATTGAAAACTAAAGAGGAAGATAATGTGGAATGAATATGGGTAGTGAAAGAGAAATAAGAAGAGGTAAGGGTTGGTTACTGTCAAATGTCAATGGCTTGAAATGGTGACGGTTGCTTGAGAATAAAGGAAAAAAGTAAGTAAATTTAACTCTCTCCCTCTCTCTCTTTAAACGTCAATTCCTTTAAGGAATGGTCTCCCTATATCTCTCTCTAAAAGCGTGTGTGTATATATACTTAAACGCCTCCATTTCTGCTCTGTATCATTCTTTGAACTGCTTAGACCAAAACTCATATCTATACTGCAACAAAGAAGGAGGAGTCTTTGAGAGTTTAAAATGACAGCAGGAGAAAACCCTTTTGCATCGAACACCTCTTCTCTCCAAAACCAGCTTAGAGGTTCTTCTTTTCTTCTCTGAGTTTTCTTATTCATCAATCTTTCTAAGTGATTGCTTCATGTTGAATCATTTCTGTTTTGCAGAAAAGGATAAGGAGCTTGTGTCTGCTAAGGCTGAAATTGAGGCTTTGAGAACAAATGAAGAGCTCAAGAACAGAGCATTTGAGGAGGTATGTATAGGGTAAAACATGATCATTCTCAGTTGTATAATCACCTATGTTTGTAATGATCTCTTCAACTATGTTATTACCTACACGTTTTCTTGATCATTGTTATGTTTTTCTATTTTTTAAAAAACACTTACAACGAGCTTCATGAGCTATGCTGATGCTACTTGGTTGTGTGTTTCAGCTTAGCGAAAACTTGAGGAAGTTAGAGGAGAGACTTGGAATCTCTAAGAATCTTGTTGAACAAAAGGTGCGTTTTCTTCACTCAAAGTCTTATCATCCTTTTACATTCAGAATGACTAGAAGAATAAGTTAAGACTATGACATGATTGTGGAAGAGCAGGAGGTTGAGATGAAGAAGCTAGAAGAAGAGAAAGAAGATGCATTAGCAGCACAGGACGCTGCAGAGGAAGCACTGAGGAGGGTTTACACTCACCAACAGGAAGATGACTCACTCCCCCTTGAATCCATCATAGCTCCTCTTGAAGCTCAGATCAAGTCTCACAAGCATCAGGTCTTTGACTAATATCTATTTCAACTTGCGTTAACAAGCATCAGGTCTTGACTATACCTTCTTGTGTGTGTTTTACAGATCTCTGCTCTTCAAGAAGACAAGAAAGCTTTGGAAAGGCTGACAAAATCAAAAGAATCAGCGCTTCTTGAAGCAGAGAGAATCTTGAAAAGTGCACTTGAACGTGCTTTGATAGTTGAGGAGGTCCAGAACCAAAACTTTGAACTAAGAAGACAAATTGAGATATGCCAGGTAACCCTCTCCTGAATGATACACGTTGAGCATTCTATAAAACTGTTGGCTAAAAAGGCTAAGGAAAAAAAATGGCAGGAAGAGAACAAGTTTCTTGAGAAAATCAACCGTCAGAAAGTGTTGGAGATTGAGAAGCTCTCACAAACCATTAGAGAATTGGAGGAAGCTATCTTGGCAGGAGGAACAGCTGCAAATGCAGTTAGAGACTATCGTCGCCAAATCTCTCAGCTCAATGTAAGTCTCTTGTGTTCACATACTCTCATGTGGTTTTAAGAGACTCACTTTTTTTTTTTTGCAAACAGGAAGAGAAGAGAACCTTGGAGAGAGAGCTAGCAAGAGTGAAAGTGTCAGCAAGTAGAGTGGCTCTTGCCGTTGCCAACGAGTGGAAAGATGAGAATGATAGAGTAATGCCTGTAAAGCAATGGCTTGAAGAGAGAAGGCTTCTCCATGTACTTAAATGCTTTTCACTTGCACAAAACCCATACATTCATTGACTGTTCCTATTTGGAAAAGTCTGAGTGTTGTTCTCTTGAAATTTTGTGTATGTGTGCAGGGAGAAATGCAGAAACTGAAAGATAAACTAGCTGTTTCAGAGAGAACAGCTAAGGCTGAATCACAGCTAAAGGTGGTTGTGAATTATATTGTGAATCTTTTTTATTGAAAGTAAGTGTAGTTTCTAATGCCTCTAAGTAACATATACAGGAGAGGTTAAAGCTGAGGTTGAAAACAATAGAAGATGGCTTGAAGAGTCCAAACATGTTTTCTGTCTCTCCAACAACTGCAAAGGCTGAAAAACCTGGCAAGATTTTAGGATTCTTGACTAGTGGTGGTGGTGGTGGATCAAAGAAAAGGTCTACTTCTCAGCCACGTGGCTCACTTACAGGCAGAATCCATGCTCTAAATCAGACGATTAACAGAGTTGAAGAAAGAGATGGAAAAGAGAACTCAAAGGTTACATCAAACGGATCAGTTGATCAGCATGAAGAAGAAGAAGAAGAAGAAGAAGAACAAAGGAAAGCTAATGAAGATGGAAATGAAGATATGGTTTCAGGTTTTTTGTATGACAGGCTTCAGAAGGAAGTAATTGCTCTCAGAAAGATCTGTGAGAGTAAAGAGGGTACTATAAATGCGAAAAGTGAAGAAATCAAGGTATACTGCAACTTCTTATTCTTGTTTCATCTCTTCAACTATATGAATCTTTACATAATTATAAGTAAATATGCCTCAGATGTTGTTGAAGAAGGTGGATGCTCTAACGAAAGCAATTGAAGTGGAGACAAAGAAGGCAAAGAGGGAAGCTGCAGCGAGAGAAAAGGAAAACGCATTGGCCTTGTTGAATGAAGAGACAAAACGATGTAGAAAGGCAAACTTACCGAGAAGGTTTGGTCATCTTTTTCCTTTAACTGTTTGTATCTGTCTTTTGAGACAAAGTTGATATATCTATATGTGTGCTATGATATGTTTTATGCAGCCGTGTACACAAGTAATGTTGAATATCATGTCCAGTAGAGGAAGAAGAAGCTTCTTGGAATGAAGATAACAAAAGAATATGGTCTTAACTTAGGTGTAAATACTATAAGAAAGTGAAACTGATGCTTCAATTAAAGAAGAGGCGTGTGTGTGTGTGTGTGTGTGTTATATTGTTTGGATTGTAAATTATGTTTTCTTAGATGTTGAAACAATACTTGTCTCTCTTCTCAACACAAGCGAGGATCTGAGCATGAAGTAGTAAACATTATATTTACAAAAAGACTTGTTCTCTTTCTCTCAATAAGTGAGATCAAGGAACCATATAGAAAATATGATAATACATAATGTTCCTTCTCATAAAATTAAACTTTTACTAGATGTTAAATGGATTAACAGAGATAAAAGTTAAAACACAGACTAAAAACACATGTACTAAAAGTGAAAAAGAGAGTTTCGATATAGATGAGAAAATAGGACGTATGGTATAGGAAGATGAGATTTCTAAATCTAGAAAATCGTGTTCAAAACGCTGCAAAAATACTACTGTTCAAGCCTCCCTTAACGCATTACTCAATTTTTAAGATTAAGCAAAGCAATAAATAATAAATAGCAAAGCAAAGCAATAATTATTAAGAGTGGTTCAGTTCGAGTCGATAGATAGCAATAAATTACATAGATATTAAGTTAAACAAAGCAGGATCAGCAGTCTGATTTGTGGACAACAGAGTGATTAAAACCTACGGGAGAGAGAGAAAGGAAAGTTAGGAAACATATATCCGCCGTTTTTCCTAGCGCTCGGTAAGTAACTATCTGTAAGGACATGGGGGAAAATAAAAAGATTAAAACAACAAAACCACATATGCAACAACAAAAACAAAAAGAAAGAAAGAGAGAGAGGACAAATTACATGGATTCATCTCTGCATCCATCTCTTCAAACCCATTCGGGCTACAGTGTAGTTTTTCTGTTCCTGTAAGGAGAAAGGAAAACATCAAAGAAAGAGGTAGAGCAACATTTTCCAAAAAAAAAAAAAAAGGGGACAATTACTTACCTGCATCCATCTCTTTCAAGACATCCAAAGGACTCAATCCATTAACGAAGCAACGTTCAACAATTATCCTGAGTCGTTTGAGACCTCTGAACGAACCCATTGCGGCAACAGTGTTGCCCTGTAAGAGAGACGAAAACGTCCCTACAGTCAGGTAAGAGAAACATTTGCAAATTGGAACCAAGAGATGAGTGTAATTACAATTACCTGAAGCCGAATGAAACAGTTGGTTGATGTTTCCAGCGCCTTTGCAAGCAGACCAAAACAAATAAAAAAACGCAGGAAACAAACACTACACTAGTGATTGATTAATCAATTACAGGACACACACCTTCAAGGAAGAAGACTTATGACCCAAAAACAGAAACCTTGTTATTGGAAACTTCTCCTGCAAAGTCTTTTATAATTTTTTTTTTAAATATAAAAGTCTTTGTAATATCAAATCATTAGCATGTGACTGGAAAGTGTATACCTTTGATCGAGCCAAATGTCCGATATTGATGATATCATAAGCCATGTCGTCTTCCAGAATCTTAAGTGCCTGTAAAGAGTTAAGTTTATTTATTTATTTTTAAAAACAAAAGCAAAGCAAGCGCAGAAGAAGCGTTACCTGACGAGAAGGGACACTTCTCGCGAGAAGCCTAAGCAAGTCTCTAGCTTTGACGATGATGTAAGGATCTCTCGTCTTCTTGGTGGTTGAAACAGTCATATAACGTTCAGCCAGGTTGAGCTCGCAGGAGACGCCGTGTTGCTTGAGAGCGGACTTGACTCTGGGCCAACGCTTGAGAAGATGCTTCTCTCTGCTTCGAGGATACACTCTGGAGAAGGAGCTGACTTCGAGCATACCAGTCGGGTTCCATGCCGGATCGAACTTTTTCTCCACTTCCCAACGCTTCATGTCTGGCTCAACTTCCCATGGCCTCGGCTTGTTGTTTTTACCTACTTTCTTTTGCTCTACACTCTTAATCTCCTCCATTGACGACGATATGATCAGTATAGAGAGAGAGAGAGACATAGACACGGCCGCGTAAAGCTTCTCTTTTATCCTTCCTTCCTTCCTACCTAGGGTTTCCTCGTCTCCCGATCATATGGGCTCATCAGTTTTCATGCTGTCCTTGGCCCAATTTTTTTTTTTGTAACTGTACATAACTGACTATCTTTTTTTGTAACTGTACATAACTGACTAGTTTTCATGCAGCACCTACAATACATGATGATGTATATAAGAAGTGATGATGATGTATATAAGAAGTGACAAGAGACTAATTAACACCATGACATGGACTAATCTATTTCAGTACGTACCAGGAATAGGTGAGGAGGAAGGAGAGAGTAGAGAGGAGGTGTCATGGACAGAGGAGAGTTTGAGTTCACCGTAGCCAGCCATCTCCACCATCTCTTTCTATCTCCAGCTGCTTCACCCAAACCTAACATGAATACCAAAGTCAAGCTGCTTAACAAGAACCTCATCTCCATTTTTCAAAGTTAATATGTAAACAACTAGTATAAAATGATATGTAAATGGAATAATCAAGCATGTGTATCTATATATATATAGACACCAAAAAAAAAAAAAAGATGATGGATTGGTTTGGTATTGAAATTAAAGGATATGATGCCCTTAAGTTATCTTTTTATATAAATTAGAAAGGCAGAAGCATCTTCATTCATTTGACTTTCATCTTCTCTGGGTCAATATGGCTGACTTTTTAATTTCATATAAATCTGCTTATTTGCTTGTCTAATCTTTGTTTCTTTCTAGATTTTCTTAATAATATGTTTGATCAATATGTTTATGCGACGTTTCTCCTCTTAAGTTTGGAGGGATGGTCATACCTGCCCCAACTGTTTTTCTTTTCTTCTAGACATTTGTAGCTTTTGAACAAAGACATTATCAATTTCTTCACTGAATTATACAAAAAAGGTTTATCTCAATGATGTGTCTTTGATGATGTATGAAGATTATATAATATAATTCAATATTTTAATGCATATGCATCAGTGGAACTAGAAACTAGATAATCAATTTTCTCATTTGAACATAATTAACTTTTTGGATAAGAACCTGTTTTACAAATGAAGTTTAAATGTAACAAATAACAATATATATATATATATATATATATGTTTTAACTATTCTAATTTTAAAGATTATCTTAGTTTTAAATTTGATTTTCTTTTTGTCAACTACAGTAAAATTGTTAAAAAAGAACTAATAAACAACAATTGTTGGTAAAATAATTTAAAACAAAAACATTTCATATCACTCTACAGACAAAAGACATTCATAATTTACCCCACTGGAAATTAGTTTTACAAATGCAAACAATGAAAACAAAAATTTCACAAATAAGTCCCAAACTTTAAAATTGTTCAAAGTAGCCCCTACTTTGTTTGAGTTTAATCATAAAACTTCTCCACCCTGTCGGATCCAAAAGTCTCTCTCTCAAGTTTTCCGTAGATGGCTTCGTCTTCATCATCATCATCTCCGATGCCGGATACTATAACCGCAATGGACGAGGAGCTGACTCTAATAGTGAAATGGAGCGGAAAAGAGTACACACTCCGAATCTGCGCCGACGACTCCGTCGCTGAGCTGAAACGTCGCATCTGCTTCCTCACCAACGTCTTGCCCAAACGCCAGAAGCTTCTTTACCCTAAAGTAGGAAACAAGCTCTCCGACGACTCTCTTCTCCTCTCCCAGATCCCTCTCAAGCCTTCTCTCAAGATGACCATGATCGGGTTCCCTTCTCCCAAACCCTAATTTTTCTTTTTCAATTGATTGTGAGAAGTGAAATTGAATTGAAAGTAATGATTTTTATTTTTTTTTTACAGTACAATGGAGGATGATATAATAGTGGATCAAGTAACATCGGATGACGTTGTTGATGACTTTGAGCTTGGTAAGGAGGAAGTTGTTGATATTGAGGATAAAGAGGTTAATAAGCAGAAGCTTAGGAGGAGAATTGCTCAGTACAAGGTCTGTTTTTGAGTTCAAAGTTTTGAACTTTTAATGCATTTGAGTGTGTTTAAGCTTTTGGATTTGAGTAGATGAGTTAAGTATCTTTAATTATGTGAATCAAGAATGACTATTTGCTCTTAAATGTTTTGTAAGAGTGATGTTCTGTGGCTGAAAAGCTTCTTCTTGTGTGGATTTTGCAGATTAAGCTTGTGAATCCATGTCGCAAAGGCAAGAAACTGCTTGTTCTAGATATTGACTACACTTTGTTTGATCACCGTTCCACTGCCGAGAACCCGTTGCAGCTTATGCGTCCTTGTAAGTTGTATATATTCATCTATCTCATTGATGGGTTTACATAGCCTGACGAGTGTCTAAATGCAGATCTTCATGAGTTTCTTACTGCTGCTTATGCAGAATATGATATCATCATATGGTCTGCCACTAGGTGATGCTTCTCTCTTTTTTTTTCTACTTCTGGTATCGTTTATATCACTTTATCTTCTTTCAGTATTTGATTTATCCGTTTTTGGTGTCTGTAGCATGAAGTGGGTTGAGTTAAAGATGGGAGAACTTGGTGTGTTGAACAATCCAAACTACAAGATCACTGCACTTCTCGACCATCTAGCCATGATCACGGTTCAGTCAGACACTCGTGGGATCTTTGATTGCAAGCCTCTAGGCTTGATATGGGCACTATTACCTGAGGTATGTATTATATTCCATTACACACCATCACCACTAATTATGTTGTTTATTCTCATGTGATATGATTTGTGCAGTTCTACAACGCCCAAAACACAATCATGTTCGATGATCTGCGAAGGAACTTCGTGATGAACCCTCAAAACGGTCTTAAAATCAGGCCCTTTAGGAAAGCTCATGTGAACCGAGACAAGGATGACGAGCTTGTGTTGCTGACTCGGTACCTTCTGGCAATAGCAGAGCTTGATGATTTGAGTTCTTTGGATCATAGCAGATGGGAGACATTTTCAGAAGATAACGTCAAAAGGCGCAGGCATACATAACTTTCTTTTAAACTTATTGCTGTCATTGTTTAGATATGTTGTTGCTGGCTACTTATGTTTCCTGGTTTAGAAATACAATCAGTTTTTTTTTTCTAACATTAAGCATCAGTGACTAATAATCAAATTATGACATCAATTCTACTTGTCCTTCACTTACACCAGTGCAGCAAAATCAACCAGAGAGCAAATGCTTATACATCTAGTTAAATATAATACCACTTGCCATTCCTCTTAAGAAAATGATATGATTTCTAAATACTTTAGGGTATCTTATTTTAGGCCTAAAGAATTTGATGTCTAAAAATAGAAAGAATGGATCCTTAGAGTAAACAAAAGACATGAGCGCGAAAGAGGAAAAAAAGTAGAGGAGATATAGTGATTCAAGTCGCTACATTGGCATTTTATAGTCATCAATCAACAAAGATACTACTATAGTTGTAGACATGTAGTAGAGAGAAGAGACAATACTACTTGCTTTCTAATATAAACCCCAAGAAGATGATGATGTTACACTGGTTCTACGTTTCAGCTTACATGCTCAAGAAAGTGACTCGAAATACAATATAAAGTCAATATGACCCTCTCTCTATATATATGTAATTTCTCCATATCCTTTATCTTAGTACAAAATGTAACACCGTGTTAGAGCCCACACCCCCACTAGTCCAATCCAAATGTGGTAGATATCCCACCTTGCCATTATCTCAGCGCTGCTTGAAGACAAATCTTTATCTGTAACACCCACAAGAAATCTACAATCCCCAACTGAAGGATCTAGGAAAGTGACCATACCAAGCCCATCAAAGTCACAGCTCTTTTCATTTTGCATCTGCAGCTGATAGTAACTGTTGAAAACATATGAGATATTATCCTTCTCCCCAAGTTGGCTGCATGATCCCCCGTCGTTGAGCGTTGTGCAATCCGCTTGGCTGCAAGCAAGCCTCAAGTGTTCGTCTGCAACTTGTGCCATATCCTTCTCCGGGTGAGCCACACACCACCTGGAAGGAAGGTACTGCACATTCTCCGCATTCTTGAGTCCTCCTTTGTTTCCTAAGTTGAGACGATACTTGGCCTGTCCATCAAAAGAGAAGATTCCCCAATGCCTCTCAAAGTTACCAGGCAACGTGCTCTTAGCTCCTTCATCAAGCAAACCAAAAAGATACACATCCATAGGAGGTGAGCCAGGTCTTAGCGGCGTCCCTTTGTTACTCAACAAATGGTTGATAAGCCCTTGGTTAAAAACCCTTGCCGCCGTGAGGTTAGCACCAACTGCTCCATCCGTAGGCCAACCAATCTCACCAATAACAATAGGCATCTGACCAAACCCAATCTTGGCGAGAGCAGAGACAAGAGTGTCAAAGTTCCCATCAAACGCATTATAATAAACATTAGGCCCATCAAGAACAGGATGACTACTCCCCTCGAAAAACGCAAAGTCTTGTGGGAAGTCAGAGTTTTGATAGAGACTAAGGAAAGGATAGATATTGACAACAAAGGGAGACCCATTTGAATTGAGAAACGAAGCTAGTTCAGTCATAATCTGCATTAGATCAGGCCTAAACGTCCCCTGAGAAGGAACATTAGACTCATACGCATCTGCGTTACAAGGAACAACCAACTTCACATAGCTAGCTAGATTTGCTTTGACCAAAGACTGTTGCAGGTTAACCATAGCTGGAACAACATAGTTCTGATACACACCTCCGTAACTCGTCAAGAACGGCTCGTTCCCTACTGCAACGTACCTACCCATTAACAAAGATTGTAACTTTAAACATCTAAGAGTATAAAGATTGCAACTTTGAACATCTAAAAGCATAAAGATTGCAACTTTGCAAGTGTGTCAACATCTAAGAGCATAGAGATTGCAACTTTGAACATTTTAAGAGTATAAAGATTGCAGCTTTGCACATGTAAGAGCATAAAGTTTACAACTTTGAAGATCTAAGAGCATAAAAATTGAGACTTTAAACATCTAAAGAGCATAAAGATTGAAACTTTGCAAGTGAGTGAACATATAAAGAGCATAAAGACGCATACTTTGGAAGAAGAAGAGGGTTGGTTACTACCTGATGTCAGCGCCACCTTTGCCCATGAAGCGAGAGAGATTCTGCTGGACGAAGAGATCAGGATTGAAAGTGGAGAGAAGGTCATTGGGAATGCTGATCATGACTTGGATTCCAGTGCCCATTAGAGCTCGGAGTGCATCTGGATTTGAATCAAAGAGCTTTACTTTGGTTATTTTGTTGGCTTTGAGGAGATCCACCACTGTTGAAGGTCTCATCTTGTGATACGACAGCGTTCCCCAGTTCACGCCTATTGCGGAATGAGCTTGGTGGGTTGCAATGAGAAGAAGAAGAGAGAGAGTTAAGAGAGCTACTACACCGCTTCCCATCTTTTCTCTAACTGAGCTCACTCTACCTGGGGAGCCTGACAACGATTATAAAATTTTCAACAGCTTTTTGAGAATGCGTGCTGTTATGTATTCGATTAAACATCACGCAGTGCAATCACAAAACACTGAAACGCAGAAAGTTGCCAATGAGCTATCATAGAATGGTTGATCCTTGGTCAAACTGAATGAAACATTGGATTTAGGTTCCGATTTTTTTTTGAAAAAAATACATAAATATAATTTAAAAAAAAAATTGAAACCTTCCAACTTTAAAAAAAAAAAAAAATAATTGAAATCTTTAGTAAATCATCTATAACTCTCTAGATCTCAAGACCGATCATGCATACAAGTTGATATGTATGGTAAATAAATATTTTGTGACAAAGTTGGACTTTTGCAATCATATGGACTAGTGGTAGTAGTAGTAGGTGCAGTATTTGATTCTCAATCTATCTTTAGCTTCTCTATTTCTTAGATACATAATGCTCTGCTAAAATGGATGTGATATAAAATACTAATCACTTAATCACCTAAAAATAAATTTGTACTACATTATAAAAGATATTTACATGGCAGGTAGTATTTAATCGGTCGTAGTAAATAACTAACCACTTAATGACACAACACATCCCTCGAACTCTCTCGTGTAGACTCGGGTATGGTAGAAAATTCACAACGTTGTTTGTTGCCAACCCTTTTTTGTTGTTTGTTATTTCTCGTGGGGTTTAAGTTTTTTTTTTTTTTTTTAACAACGTTTGACAAGATGAGGAACACAAATTGGGAAGATGTACTTTGATTTTCTTGCTTGTCTTTGTCTTAATCTCACCCATGGGAAGCATCCACTTCCCCTCGTCTTATTTTTCTTCACTTGTTGTTCTTCTTCACTCATCTCTTGTTCTTCTTTTCCTTTCTCTTTAGTTATCTCTTGCTTTTCTTCTTCTTCTTTACTCATTTCTTGCTTGCCTTCTTCTTCTTCTTTATTTATGTCGTGCTTCTCTTCTTCCGTCTCATTCTCTGCCAACTTCAAATCCTGAGAAACCAAATTACTCATCATTAACATATATCATAAGAACTAACTTACGTTGGACCTAAGATGAGGTTTATTTTCTTACAGTTCAGCAATTCTTTGTGTTTTGGACATTATTCTTACAGTTTCAGGTCCAAAACGTAAATAAGAATTTTAAATAGAATTAGTTTATACTCTTTTTTAAACACTCTTTACAATATATGAGTCATTTTACATCAATATCGTATAATTGATGTCTTTTCAATTTCAAAAACTTATTTATGTATACTATTAGTCTATGTTTTTTTATATGTCTTATCGACTGATACCAAAGTAATTAGGTGGAACATACATTAATTAAAGGTAGAACATATGCTAAAGATTACTAGACTGAATTAAGTAAAGTAATTACCACAATATCTAATCTGAATTTGGAATTTAATGCTAAAGATTACTAGATTGAATGTTACCAAAGTAATTAGGTGGACCAAAATCCAAACTAAACTTCCTAGATAAACAAACGTATGCAAATGCATACATATAAATATACAATGGATGCAAGATTTTTTTGGGTACTAATATTAATAACAATGGGGTATCTAGATGGTAGTCACGTGAGTTCGGACACAAAATCTTGAAATGGGGTCTAATGAAAGATTTTTTCATGAAATTGTGATAGCCTATGAGTATTACATTTTTGTGTGTTTCTCTGATTGATTCTCATCTGTACTATGTTTCGTATATTATGAAAGAAAATCTTAAAATGTATCTTAAAGTTTATGTAATATAAAAAGACTAGACATCTGTCTATTCCTATGAATGATGCTTTTCTTATCAATGCAAAAGGATCTAATTATTGATGCACGAGCAATTCGACATTTTATGCAATTATTAATTTCCGTACCTTTTTCATTGGACCTCATGGTAGGGAATTATGCAATACTCTATAATTTTAGAATATACTTTATTATTCTGTGTGTTTATTAATGCAGGCTTTCTTAGATATTTGAGTCTACGATTATTATTGAACTTTGTTCGTTTTTTCAAGATGATACGTAAAATTTAAAGCATTTTATACTGAAAAGACACTTGACTTTCCAGCTTGGATATTTTGTTTTTGACTGAGTTTACTGATTGTGCACAAAAAAAAAACTTGGTTTACTGTATTATCTCTTTGTAGAACGGTGTTACTCCCCCTAAATACAAATATATAATTTTAAGATTATTCATACATATTAAGAAAAACAAGATATTTATTTTTATCTATTCATTTTTGGTTTTACACTTAATTAGCTTAAAGTTTTATTTGGTTCCCAATATTTTGATTTTATTTTATTTTTATTAAAATACATTAGTTAAAGGTAGAACATACGTTAATTAAAGGTAGAACATATGCATTTGTATACAAGTAAAAAACTAAAACAACCATACATTTGTATATGGTGGGAGTATGCTTTAAAAGATCTTGGTTATACTATATGGTTTGCTTCAAATCTTCAATTATATCAATTATCATATATGTTCGAAACCATCGTTTTTCTGTTTTTAAATTACAAGCATCAATCGTATTCAAGAACTATATATATCATAAGTTTTTCTTCTTAAAGTGGGAAATTAGCTCTTTAATGAATACAATAAAAAATTATAAGAATTTCCCAAAACTGCTGGGCCATCTATTAAAACTTTTCTCCAAGAATTCCCACCAAAAATAATTATGTTTTTTAGAAAGGTTTTAGAAATTTGTATTTGAGAAATTCTGACATGGATCTCTCAAATTTCTGAGAATCACTCATATTAAAACTACTACGTATATAGTATGACATATTATACGTATTAGAGTACCTCTTGTTGATATTCCAGTTTGAGATTGAAATCCACCGGCGAATCATTAGCTTCCACGTATCGTTTCAGCGACCTTTCCATGATCGGAGGCGTCTCCGCCGGACTAGGGCTACCGGAGCTAAGATCCACCGACGTACTCTGAATGCCCACATCTCGTTTCAGCCCCACAACTTTCTCTTCTCCTAAAATAACACCCTCAAAATTTTATACTTATCACAATCAAGAAAGAAGAAAAAAGAAAAAAGTTTCAAGAAAACTAAACTTATTAGCTAACAACACAAATGAGGACACTGGACATATTTAAGTTTTAAATACCTCGAACAAGAACAGGATCAGGAGCATAAAGATCCTCGTGAATGACTCTAACGTTAGGATTATTACTCGGTTTGTTTTGACCAATATTGTTCATCGATGGGTTGGGATTATGGTAGTGAAGAGGAGCAGACATGGTGGTCAAGTTTCTGAAAGACCTTGTGCGTAGTGTTTTTGAAGACAAACACTCCATAGGTACTTCTCCAGACAATGGATTGCAGATATATTTCTCTGCTTCGTTCCACTTCGAATTCAAAGCAAACCCTTCTTGAGTTAACCATTCTCTCTTATTGAACATTGCCTTTGCTTGTAACGCTGCAAACAAAAAAGGAAAGAAGCATTCCTCCTTTGTTTTTGAATGTTCTTTTTTATTCAGTATATAACGATTTTATTGTTTGTTTAAAACTTACCCTTGAGTGCATTGGTAAAGGAATATGTTGATGGATCAATCTCTTCTGTTTATAAATATTAAACATTTCAGAATAAATAACTCGTGAACACATTCAGATAAGAGTGGTAAAGTTTTAGCCACCTTTGAGAGTGTAGCCAGGGGATGAGGCAGTACTAGAGATGTTGTTAACGGTTGTTCTAGAAGATGACTTGTGATAATCTTTTCGAAAGCTGCCAACGTATGAAGCAGAGAACCTTCTAGAATTCGGGTTTTCGCGGATTAATCGAGCTTTTCTATCCCATTCTCTTAGGTTCATAAACTCAGGCTCTTCTCCGGGCAGAGCCATTGGAAACGAAATATTTCCTTTTTTTTTTTTTGAAAGAGCAGAAAGCCAAGGAGGGAGAATGAAGCAATCAGGCAGAACCTATGAAAAGATATATACTCTTTTTTTTTTTTGAAAAAAATGAATGATTTTAGTTACTTATCTTTTACAAAAAAAATCGCATTGAATATTAATATGAAAATTCTTTTGTGTCTCTTGACTGATTGAAAATATTTAAATAAAAAGAAACAAATGCAGAGCAATGCGTATGAGGTTGTTATAAAATCATATTGACTGCTTGCCATGTACTGAAAAAATCTTACAATATAGCATTTTTGTTTTCTTCTTGGGTGTAATCCATTTATAGGAATCAAGATCACTTGGCATTTTCTGCTATTTTATTTAGTCTTATTTTAAATTTTAAATATGGTCCTTCTTTCTTTTCAGTGTTTTGAATTCAAATTTTTAATATTTTTATTTTTGAAAAGTTCCTTTTAAAACACACACACACACACACACACACACACACACATATATATATATATATATATTCCACAATTAAGTTTAAATTGTTGATTAGTCTATTGCAACTTTTGATTGAGTTATTTTCTTATAACTGCACCAAATAAATGAACAGAATGGTAGATATTTGTCATACATCATATATAATTATATAGTCAACTTGGAATGGTTGTTCGAAATATATATGTGTTTACTGCTTCCATTAGTTTATTTGCTAAATCTTAGCTCGTTATAGTTTTTTTTTTCTTCAAGTGACAGTAGTATTACGGCCGGTACACACTAATTATGAGTTGAAACTTTTTGGCCAAATTCTGGAAAGGTGGACGCATGATTTTATGGGTGGTTAATGCTCACATGACATTTCACCAAATACAATGCTGTTCACATCAAATGAAATGCTGAAAGCATGATAGTAAATCAAACATTTTTAACAATCTTAAGAAAACGACTTAATACTCACTTTAGTTAGTTAACACATTAACAGGAAACGTTATGCAAACTAGTTTAAGTTATCGTAGTCGAGAGTGTTTTTCTTAATCAAACCACCCACTCATATTTTCCCTTATCTTGGTAATCTAGTACCACATTTAATTAGGTTGTATTCTTCAACACGGTTTATTAGTTTATCACCAGCAATATCAAGTAGCATAACATATTATAGGAAGAGACTTAATTTCCTTTACAAAATGCGAAGTATTAACATAGAGTAATCTCATATATATATATATATATATATATATATATATATATATATATATATATGTGTGTGTGTGTAAGGATTGATGGACCAATCATTTTCAAAAAAAAAAAAAAGATTGATGGACCAACGAAAATGTTGTTGGCCAACGTCTGGAATGGAGATGGACCAACGGAGAGATGATGGCACATGGTGAGGGAGTTGGCAGAATGTGAAGAATGGATAGGGTGATATGGAGTTACATATAATATGGTATATTTTGATTATTCAAAATGTAGAATGGTGTGTGTATATAGAGTAGAGTTGTTTTCAGTAACATGGTCTTATTTTGTTTGGTTATAGTGAGGCAAACTAATTTGATGTGTGATAGAGTGGACTCTATATATAGTGGTTTGTGGTCGTACACATATCAATATCTATGTCCATGTCCATGTGAACGTCACATTCATCATAGTTGTATATATTATGAAGATGACTAACTATCAACTATTTATCTACTCTTCCGAGAATAAGTGTCTCTTGAATCATAAATGTAGGAACGTTTGATCCGAATTGAACTTTCATTTTTTTTAGTCATATGTTTTTTATAGTTTCATGATATTGTAAATCATTAAACAAATTCAAACCAAAAAACAAATCAAAACTCAAAATTTAACATATAAGCATCGAACGTTCTGACTCTGAGTACTGGCAAGTTGCAGATGATCAATGCGTGGTTGCTATGTACAACTGTACAAGTTGTTTAAAAAATTGGTTGAAGGACATAAAACCGACCAAGTAAAGCTATTCGGATGGAACCGGTTAAACAACTTAAACGAAGGGGCCCACAATAGAAAACTAATGATTGTGGTGAGAGCAGAAGAGGCATGCAAATGTAGGCATCAGTTGTGACTGGTTATTATATGGAAAAAGAAATGATTCATTAATAGTATAAATTTTCTTTTTAAAGATGATTTTTCCCTTTTTCCTAGGCTTCGAATGTGACGCAAATGATAAAAATACAGATCAAATTGATAATGCAGATCAAAGAGATAATACTGATCAACTAGATTATATAAAATATAGATTTGCTTATCAAAAAAATTTATTAAATTATCATATTTGATTGAATATTAAAAAAATAAATAAATTAAAATTAAATATTTAAAATAAAAATACAAGTTCTTAAGTATACTGTATACATAATAATATATAAATTACCAAATAACATATATGAACTCATTAAACTAAGCTTTATGAAAATATTTAAAAATAACAATTTATAAGAAAATATTAATTATTATAATTCTATTACTTTCTATCAAGAAAAAATATATATGTATATATATATGTGTGTATGTTTATTCATCAGTGTAAAATTTATATATGATTTTGAGTGAAGCAAAAATTAAATAGATGCTACAAAATGACATGTATGACTATTTTTGGTAAATAGAATATCTGAAATTATGGATAGGTTATATCATTATATATATAAAAAGGGGTTGCCAATATCACATTGTTATTTTATTTATCTGCTCACTTATTATCTCTTCTGTTTATGTTCATCTAAAAAGACTTTTACCCACGAAATTCAGATTTGAGCACAATATTTTTTGGGTTTTATCTATACATAAGGATAACTACGAACCACTTATCAAATGTGATAACTTTTTACCAAAAAAAAATGATTAGAACTAGATTTATTTCAGGAGATAGTAGGTATTTTAAAAGTCATTCAAACCAATTATGGATGACAAAGATTTATAGGCTAAACCCTTTCTCAAAAAAAAAAAAAAGATTAATAGGCTGATTATAATTCAGTTTAATTTTGTCTAAAAGTAGTTGATTTGCATTTTGGTTAACTATTCAACTTTATTGGATTTTACATTACTACGAATTGTGGAATTTAAAAATAACATAAAATAAACTCTCAAATTGAGATATTTAGCACTATGATTTGTGTTAAAAAAAAAGTGCCTGCTAACATCATTAATATCCCGTCCTTCCGCGACCACTGCAGGTAGGGGTGGGCGTTCGGGTACCCGTTCGGGTTCGGGTCGGGTATTTCGGGTTTTCGGGTATTTCGGTATTGGGGTTTAGGACCCGTTCGGGTATTTTTACATATCGGGTCGGGTTCGGATATTTTTAGTTCGGGTTCGGTTATTTCGGGTCGGGTTCGGATATTTAGATTTTGAAAAAAAAATTTCAAATTCTTCATTACTTAAGTTTCATGTATTTAAAAATTTAACTATCAACTTAACCTTTTTTAAATGTTTAATAAGTTGGACGATTTATAAGTTTGAAAATAAATTATTGAAAATAAAAATCATTATTTTGGTTGTTATTTTTGAATTTTGGATGCAAATTTTGTTAAAATATGAAATAAGAAGCTTAATATGCATTTTAAATGAGTAACAAATCAGTTTTTTAAACAATTATATATATATTATCTGATCTTAAACTATATATAACATTAATATAGATATTTTTAAAAAAATGAGACAAATAAACTAGGAATAAATAGGTATATATATATATGTTCGGTTATCTTCGGATACCCGTTCGGGTTCGGGTATTACCCGTTCGGGTTCGGATATCCAAACTCTCCTAACTCAATACCCGTTCGGATATTTTGCTACTTCGGTTCGGATTTCGGTTCGGATATTTCGGGTCGGGTTCAGGTACGAGTTCGGGTATCGGGTAAAGTGCCCACCCCTAACTGCAGGATTGGGTTCAAGTGGGTGTCAGTGGGATTGACCCGTGCGGGACGCAGTACCCAGAAGGACTGACCATATCTACCTCGCTATATGTATGGGTCTTTGTAGGTTGGTCCACGGAACGTGAACAAGTGGTTTACGTTACATTGAAACTTTATAATGTGCCTATGTAAACAAAAAAAAAAGCAAGTCCGAGAAAAAGTTTGGCCCATCAATGAAACACTGAGCCCATACATAAGCCATATACAGGCGTCTTGTGAGATTAAAATTTGAGTATTAGTGATTTCAATTGCTAGGAAATCCAATGGCCCAAATACTTTTCTTTGGTTAAGAATCAAGTACTTTGTGAGATTAGACGTTGGCTTATTAGTAGTTTTCCAAATTTGTAGATTTAATTTTACTCCAGAATTTTACTTCAGAAATGCTATACAGTCAGACCCTTAATTACTGTCTCACAGTCACAGGGAACCAAAATTCCCTAACTTGAAAAAAAAACATGTTTAATAAATAAACACATGTGACAGTAAAATTCAAATAGAGCCATTAAGTTATTTTTATTATGAACGTTTATAATTTCAAGGTTTAATTCCTTTTTTTGGATCAAGAGGCAAACTAAATTATAAATTGTTGAATGAAAAGTCAATTCTACGAGTTTACATACACAAAATTTGTTGACAAAAAAAAAACATACACAAAATTTGTTGACAAAAAAAAACATACACAAAATTTAATTTTCTTAAAAAAATTTATAACTAAAACATGTCAGTTTTGATGAAGACATGTTAACAAAACATTATTAATGACATAAAACCAGTAAAGGTAAAAAGAATATAAAAGGAAGATTTGGGAACAGAAATAACTCTAGAAAACAAAGGGAATGAGAGCCTTGACACGCTTAGGGAAGTCATCAAACTTAGAAAGATACCATCTTCTTGTAGCATAACTCCGACCCACAAGATAGAAAGTGGTTGAAATGGCCAAAGAGAGCGAGTAAATAGTCTGAGAAATCATAAAGAAACCCCAAAACACAAGGATCTCGAACATGTAATGAGGGCATATGACTACACCAAACAGACCACCTTTTGGTATCTTGTATTCTTTCTTCCCACTACCTTCATCTTCTTTCCTTAGCTTAGCTAGCAGAACGTGGTGATACAGATTCCCAACAATCCCCACAATAAACATGAGAAACCCTGAGAATTTCAGATCCAAAGTTGGCTCGGGTAGTCCCAGAGTGAAGCTTTGGCTGTATAACACCAACGCTGTGGATGAGAAATAGCCGCTTGTTATGGTGAAAGCTACGTCTACGGGCATCTCTCCACTGTATTTATGAATGAACAGAACCTGTTCAGATGACAATGCGTCAAAAAAGAGAGGAAACTACAACAATGGTTAATTATACTATTACAAACTATGAGAAATATTACATACACGATATTATAGCCGACAATTCTACACTAGATAGTCATAGGTTTACCTCGAAGATTCTTTTGAAGAAATGGAGGGAAAGTGATGACTTGAGAAGAAGGAACCTGAGATCTTCAGAAGGTGAGAGGAAGAAAGAGGCCGAAGCGGCTAGAAACGCTGGTGTGTATAGACAAAGCATTCCGGTTCTGCTAGAAATGCTGCCGAATCGCTGTTTTTGTGATGATGCGTTGTTGAATTTGGAGTATTTCAGATTATTTCCACTCACTTCCGACCAAACCATATTCGTTAGAGCGGCTAAACCGACGACGGTCATAGTGTTGAGCAATATCGACGGAGGTGGTGGATACAGAAAACTTGTCGCCATTTCCATCATCGGAAGACGAAAAAAAGCTGATTCTGCAATCTTGGATGATTGTTGTCCTCTCTAGTTACCTTTCATTTATAGCCACACTTATTGATCAAAGAAGACACCAACACGATGCACTTTTTTTTTTAATATATTATAACCAAATGCATTTATGCTGCAGACAATGATATGATTTATCTTTCCAACCTATATGGGACTCCCATTACTTCCAATGATTCTGTCGACGAGGCCACCACGTATAGTACATATAAGTCTCTCAATATTAGATTTTTTAAGCATATTATCCATGATGGCCAAGAATATGAGTTAAAAAAATAAATAAAATTGTGGGTGCAATCCTAGTGTGTTAACAAACCGAAATAAATAACTACTTGATTACAGTGAGTGCTTTCATTACCTTTTCCACCTCCAAAGGGACTCCAATTAAGGCAGTGATAGCTAAAATTCGGATAGATGTATGACTCTCAGTTGTCATATGTAACAGCAACAGGCTCAGTCTCAAACTTTTTTCTCACAATATTCAGAGAAAGTAGTAACCTGCAAAACAAAACGGAATGGTGAGTGAATTGATCACTGAAATGTTTAATCAGTTAAGCACAGTAACTATTGATTTCTTAACCGCGTTACCATTGTATTCAAAACAATCTTTGGCCTTCGTCAAATCCGTTGCTGTACACTCAATGAAGACATTCTTTGTCGGCAGGCTAATTGCTGAATGTGCACCGTTTATGATAGGTGGCAATGAAAGCACCGTTCTGCAAAATCGAACCATCATTATTTTCAGTTGATACACATATTTTACTGCGAAGAACCGCCATACCTTTTACTGTCGTATAGAACAGGAAAGACCGGTGAGTTCTCAATTATGTGTAGATGTTTTTTCAACTACAAATCTGACTGCAAAAAGTAAGAAAATAAAATAAAGCAGCCATCAGAAAAGGGTTCATTTTTAAGAAGAAACATCTTCAGAAAGGGTAAATTATTCAGGCTCATATACACCAGAAAGTTACTTCATGATCTACGTTGTAATATTCAATTAGTTCGTCAGCCCTGAAGCTCTTAGTCTGAACCAAATGATTAATATTAGCCAGGGAAACAAACATGAAACCTTCTCTAGTAAGTTGTCATTGTTAAGAAAGCAAGAAACTGTGACGTGAGAACACAACAGATGCAATTGCTATAAACAACGATATATAAGATCATGTCAGTAGCGCTGAGGTAACTTACTTGCTTTCAGAGGTACAAAATTTATGTCTGTCGGTGACAAAGCCTGAAAATATTTAGCAAAAACCAAAATATCAATTACCTACGCTAAAGCACATATAAAACGAAATAGATAGTATATTAGTTTGATTATCAGTTCAGCTAAAGGAATGAATCCGAACAAAATCAGTAGAGTAGTAGAAGATAATAATTAAAAAAAAAAAAAAAAGAGAAAAGATGTCACCTCATATGTGAACGGGCCCTGTAATGTATCTAAGTCATGAGTTACAATAGCTGCCAAGGATCTTCGCCTGAAATATGCACACAGTTTACATAAGATATATTAGCTCAATCCACAAAGTGAAATTTGCTGCTAAAAATGGATGAAACTGACAATAAGATAATTGTACCTGCAAATATTCTGATGTAGCTTATCCTGAAGATCGATAAAACTGTTGTAACGAGCCTCGTCGAAAGTTATGCCTTTTAAAACAGCACAGACAACATAAGGGCGAATCTGAGATGTCTGATCTGATTTAACATATTCATTTTAAGCATTGCCGATGTCAGCAAGCGTATATGTAGGTATCTCCTGTTTCTTGTTGAAAACGCGAAGAGCTTGAGAAAAAGCCCTTCAAGGCAGAGCAAATCGTACCTACGATGCAGGTGGTTCCTTCACCTGTTGGCAGGTATATCAATCAATCTTGTAGATAACTTCTTCGTCATCATCAGCTTCTTTAAGGATATGCTTCTTCCTTCTTGATGAAGGCTTTCTCAGTTGTCTAGTCATTGATTGCAACAATACAGCAGAGAAAACATTCACAAAAGAAGAGAGGCAATTGCATTGTAATTGTACTCACCACATCATCAAATCCACGAACTCTTCCTGTGCTACACATTTGAAAGAAGAATCAAACAAACAAAAATAGTTGTGGGATTGAAAAAGTAGTTACTTGGTGATTACTGTAGGATTCTCCACGAGCAGCGAACAAACCAATCTCTACCAACACTCACCGTATGCATTGTACAGATTTTTTTTTTTCCCTGAGTAATATACGATAATGATTCGAGACAACACACACTCGAATTTAACAGTATCCACAAGTAGCAAATCCATATGGTTTTTCATCATAGATAGTCTAATAAATGCTAACTAGTTGACCAGCAGAAGGGATCGGTTGGAGACGCAGCGAAATTGACGGAGACTTACCTGTTAAAGTTGGCCGGAGAGTGTTGAACCGCGGCGGAGACGATGCAATGAGGATATATTGACTAAAACGCGCGAGTGGACAGACTGAAAACGGAGTAAAATAAATAAACGCGACGTTTTTAGGTTGAAATATATAATTTCCGTTTTGGTTAGCGGTTGATTAATTAGTCCACGTGGCTAGTACATGACGGTAAATTAGAATTCTCTTTTTTCACATTATTTTTATTTTATTTTGGGGGTGTCAAATTCTAAACGTTACACAATTGTAAAATTTGATGTATAGTTTAATTCATAGTTTTGTTAGATCAGTATTTCATATGTCCACCATGTTTGGGTAAGTAAAAGAAATTAAGAATGTTGGGGGTGATTGGTTGAATTGTAGCTGTAAAAATTTTTATTGTAGAAATCAGTCGGTAGAATTTTTTGATTTAACTATAAAAATATGTAACTTTAAAATTTATTGTTATAGCAATATATTTTCTATAGCAAAAAAAAGATGTTGCTTTAGAAAATTAGTATTTTATAACCATTTTTTTAGTTTTCGACTGTAACTTTAAAAAATAAGATAAAACATAATTAGTGATTTAAGTGTTGTAGATACAAATTAAAGCTAAAGTAACTACTTACAACCCAACCAATCACCCCAATTCTCTTTGAATTTAAACGTATTCAAGTTCAGATTTTTGCTATTAAAAATGTGTTTTATAAGATGCCACAATGGGTTTAACTTGTATTTTACAGAATTATGATTCGATTTAACCAGAAAACAGAAACTTAAGAAATATATGAAAGTAGGTCTTGTGAATCTTGCAAGTGCATGAATAATAGGATAAATTGTTGGACTTGGATCAGATATTCATTAACGGGAAACTAAATACATAAACATCCAAACATACACCTAAAGGGAGAATACGGTAAATCCAGACACTAAACAACAACAACTACTACAATGAAGATGAGAATCAATTAGAACCCCCAAATTTATTTAAAACCACAACATTTTCATAACTCCCATAGTTATTTCCAATCGGCTACTTGTTCATGCCGGTCTTCTCCTTCACAATATTAACAGCTCCCCCTGCTGCCTCTGTTATCTTCTGTCCCGCCTATAAAACGTAAATCCATTTACAGTATAGAAAAGATATGAGATCTATGAATATGTATATTTATATTAATATATCATATGTCTAAGGATCGCTTACGGTTTGTGCAGACGCTCCAGCTGCGCAAGCAGCATCCTTGACCTTGTCCATCAACACATTACCTTTCTCCTGTATATACACACCATCGTCCACACGATATCAATTATACATTCATATACTTCAAGAAAATCTAAACATAACTTTCCTCTATTTTAAAAAGTGTGATTGTTTCAAATTTTCATAAACGGTGTACTAAGTTAAGCGATGTTGCCACGGCTGTATTTTCAACCGCAGCTGATGATCAAAGTGTCAAAGAGAGAAAGAGACCTCAGCACGACCAGCGGCCTGACCAGCTTGGAAACTCTGCTTGTTGTCTGCCATTTGATTATTATTGAATTTTTGTTGTGATTTTTGTTTTTGATTGTTGAGAAGAGATGTGAGTTTAGGGTTTGTATTTAAAGGCCACATGGAGAGACTTGTGTGGTGTTACGTGTACTCTTTAATCACGTGGGCAACTCTTAGTGGTACGATCAGTTTTGCCTTATGTCGGTAGCTTTTTATTGGCTATCCAGGACTTCACGTGTCAATTTTGAGAGGGATAGAGGATATTATAACTCTTTGTGTGTGGTTCTCTCGCCTCTGTTTTTTTTTTTTCTCAATTTATTATTTTAAGAGTTTAAGACAAGTTTTTGAAAATATCTCTGATAGAAATAGAGATATTATATGGTACATTTTTGTCGTCTAATAATATAGGGCGAAGTCTATGGCTGTAAATAGAAATAAGTAATTTGCTCATGCGTTTGCCAAACATTTCGTTTTATTAAGAAACTTAAAAAATCGTCGAATCTTTATCAAAACAGAGCGAATAGGAGTACTGGAGCAGGCATTTGGTTGGTAATGTTAATCCGGAACCATTTTAAACACATGTTTTACTATTTAAAAGAAATGTACGTAGAACAGAAAAAATATATTTCAACAAAAATTAGATGTTTTTTGGTAAAATGTATAATTTATTTTACAGGAGATTAACTAGTAGCAAAATTACTGAAAATAATCTAAACAACAAAGCTAATCACAACAACACTAAAATGAGATGTTCGGAACACAAAGTGTCCACGACATCAAAAATCCTTTATAGAAGAAACTTTTATTAAGAATTCTCAAAAAAAAAAAATTATTAAGTAGAATGAACTGTTGGGAAACAAAAACAATCACGTTTAATTGACTAATTGCGTTGCATTAACAAATGTCTTGGTAAAACAAGTTCTAAAAACGTATAAAACACTGAGAGAGAAACATACAAACTAGACTGAATATCACGTATAAAGTGTAGAAGCTCTCTTACAAGAGACATATTGATAGGCCACAACAATATCGTGACTAAAGTATACAGTTACGACAACTACCATTCAAATTCGAAAACACGTTAATTGTTCTGTTTGTTCGTTTCGAATAAACGTAGGCAACTTTGCGATATATAGTATTCACTTTCGTCTCCTTCAGTCCTTGACTCCTTAGGCTTAGCTAAATTTCAACTTACTATTATTTATGTGAGGAACAAAAGCTCTCTTGTAAAATTAAGCGACTGTATAAAATACATTACGAAAATGGAACCATACAAGTGCAAGTGTAGAAGTAAAAACTAAAAAAAAAAAGTAACAATAAATAACCAAAAACTCACAAGCGATAAAACAAAAGATAAAACAAGATTACTCTACCAAATCTAAATTAAAAGTAATCTTGCATACAGCATACCATCACCGTTAACAATATTATTATTAACAAGATTGTTAAAATTTAAAAGAACCAACATTTTGGGAGGAAGTACTGATACATCAAGAATTTAGATAATAAAGTTAAAAAAAAATAACATTTTATGAAGCATCCATGTGTCCATTTACAGTATTTAAACAAGAATCTTACAATGTGCTGCTTATTATTACTAAGATGTTAATAATCTTGAAGCGAGTCTTTGATTTAGTCGTTATATGACTGCAACTGATCAAACAAACCACAAGAAGTTTCCCAAAGTTCTTTACCAAGTTTAGGATCTCTAGAAGCTTTTGACGATTTAATGGTCCTTCCTTTTCCTCCAAAATAGTAAACACCTGATGTTTCCTGCATTAGTAGAAAACGAAGACACTTAAAAGTAAAAATAGTTCTATATTGATATATAGGGGATGATTGGTTGGGATTTAGACAATTTCTTTAACTTTAACTTTTATCTAGCTACCACTTTTAAAATTACCAATCATTCTTTAAGTCAATTTCTAAAGTTACAGATAAAAAATAAAAATGGTTGTAAAATCTCTATTTACTAAATCAACATTTACTGTGCTATAGGAAAAATATACAGTTACATAAACTAAATCTATAAAAAAGTAATATTGATAAAATTTTATAGCATAAAGTTTAAAGCCAATTCCAATTAATCACCCATAATACTTTTGTTCCCCAAAATAAATATTTTGGGAACAAATTGTTCACAATATATTTTTTCTATAGTTTTTCTTTTATTTAATCATATTAAATTGTTAAAAAAAAATTTAACCTTATTAATTTTTATTGGTTTAAAATTATTGGTGAATGGTATTTAATTATAATACAAAGGTAACATGGTTTCTTAACTGGTGGAGCTAAAGCTGCATCGACGGAAGATCGAGCTCCTTCATCAGGGGTTTGGAGGAGGCCAATAAGTTTGAAAAAGAGAAACCCAAAACCAGATGCATATTTAGGAAACTCGCGCATTAGATTTGTTTTCACAAATCCAGGATCTGCAGCTCTGCATTTATCATGCAAAACATAATCTTTAAACAATGAAAAAAGAGAGAGTAACAGATTAAGACAATATAAGAAGAATGCATACATAACAGATACATGGTGTGAATCATCTTTGAGGCGTAGCTGTCTGTGCAGTTCATATGAGAAAAGTAGAAGACATACTATTCAAGAAACATAAACTCATTAGTCCCAACTCCCAAGGAAATAATACAAACATATATACAAATGAATGTTTTGAGCTTACATTTAGAATACTCGTAGACATGAGCATGGGGATATTGGTTGTATGTTGCAAAATGCTCTCCAGTTACATAATCCTTATTAACCTTCCCAATAGAAGCTACAGAGAAAAATAGATATCAGTTTCAATCAGTTTGACTCTCATGCTAGGTCCATATATACATTTGTGAATTATGACACTATATATTCACCATAACGATGTGTGAAAGATGCAACGTTAACGACCCGTGAAGGCACAGAGCTATTTTTCAGAAGTGGTAAAAGAAGTTTGGTCATAGTGAATGGACCAATATAGTTTGTAGCCATCACCCTGAAGCAGTTATAGAATATCAAACCCATAAGTCCAATATATTTAAGCTAACATGAGCATAAGTGCATGTCAAAAAAGTGAGATGAAAACAAGACATACCTGTCATAACCTTCAATGGTTGGTCGACTAGAAATAGACATTATCCCAGCATTATTCACTAAAAGCTGAATTGATGGAGGTAGCTCTTCGTCTGATAGCCATTGCTCTAGAGAGTCTTTAAAATTGAAGATTGATGAAAAAGAAGACATGTCAACTACGAAAGATTTGAGTTTTGCATCTTTGTTCTTGCTCTTGATTTCTTCCAATGTCTGTCATAATAAGCCAAGATAATAATTCTTTACATCAAAGAAGAGAGGATATATTTACTTCAAAGCAAAAATTTGTAAAATAACCTCTGAAAGAAGCTGAGGAGACCTTCCAACTGAAAAAAAAAAAAATCAAAGAAAGATGTCACCCTATAAAATAAAGAATACAAATATATTAACAGTTTAGGAAGCAATGCAGTGGCATTACCAAGAACAACGTGGAAGCCCTTCTCTGCAAGAGCAAATGCAGTGGCCTTACCAATCCCAGAAGTAGGCTGCAATCAAAATCCACCACTAGTTCAATACAAAGATTCTGTAAAAAGGGTTTCAGTGAGCCACTGATGTGACTATACAAGCAACTGCAGCTACAGGGAACCAAATTAAATTTACTTACACCAGTGATAACACAAATAGGTCTTGAAGATTCAATATCTGGATCGATGGAGCTAGAACTGGGAGTGGATTTTGAGCGAAAGATACTTGCTCTAAACAGTTTCAAGTAGGAAGAAAAGAGAGCTAAGGTCCAAAGAAACATGTTCCAAGAACTAGGTGAACATGCAAAAAGTAAGGCCTCCATCCCGTCTTTAATCATTTTCTGATAAAAATAAACTGTTTGTAGGATTCAGTTGAAGATTTATCATTAATGGATGCTTACATAGTATCAGAAATAACTCACTAGTCCCAAATTGATTCAGGTAAACAAAAAAGCTTGAAACAAGACCTTATCCAGACGTTGAAGAAAGAAGACAGGAGTGAAAGGTTGCAGCAGTGTTAATATAGACAACAGTGAGATATTTGTTTCTTGACGTAAAAGTCATAAATTCCTCGAGCAAATCACCTGGCCACGTCCATTGAGGTTGAAATTTAGATGGAGAGAGAGTAAAATTTGAATTTGAATTCAGCATCGGAAACCTGGTTTTGCGGATCTTGACAAACGGGTTTAATCAAATAGAGAAACCAAACTGAAATCATTATAAGAGATTCTCCTCATAGTATATGTTTTATCATAACATTTAAACTTTAGAAAGATGCATACATTGTGACTTAGACGCTATAAAGCTTGTTAACGTAAACACACAAAAATTGTGCCTAAAAAGAGAGAAACTATATATATACTTTCTTCATACATGAGTTGCAAAAAGAAAAGAAGAGTGAAAGAAATCGAAAACTAAGAGACCCTGGGCTCAAGATTATCAAACACTATAATCGAACCGGGTTAGCCGTTTGAGCTGGTTTAGCTACAGCTTCTTCCACACGCTTTAGCTACCTAGATGTTATAGAAAAAATATAGATTCAATTTACAAGTATCTCTTTTGGGTCATATAACCCTTTGCTTCATAGCTTGGTCATTCATTAAGAGATGACTTTTGAGTAAGGAAAAGACTAGCAACCTTGATGGAGTAAGACAATGGAAGCAAAGTATCAGGATCCGTGGCATCTTCAGGGAAGTTCCTCAAAGCATGCACAAGTTCTTCAAATGGCAATTTCACCAACTCATTATGGCAATGCTTCAACAATGCTTAACCCACTTTGAATACAATACTTATACCATACACTGACAAAATAATTATATAAATAATGCAAAACTGGAGAAAGAAAGAAAACTATATCTTGTTTTCACTTTTCGTTTCCTTTAGTCCCGAGGCTAAACTAATTTGCATCTTACTATATGATTAGGTGAGGAACAAAAGCTCTTGTAGAATGATGTGATTGTATATAATCACAAAAATGGAACCATCAATAAGTGCAAAGTCTAAAAGTAAAAAGTCACAAGCTATTAAACAACAGAGAAAACAAAATTAGTCTGCCAAAACTAAATTAATATTGCATACCATCACTTTAACAAAACTATTGATAAACGAACAATATTTAACAATGATTGCTAAAACTTAAAAGAACTAACATTTTGGGAGGAAAGTACTGATACATCAAGAATTTAGTTAATGTAAACTTAAAAGAAATAATATCTTATGAACCATCCATGCGTATCAGTTACTGTATTTAAACAAGAATCTTAAAATGTGCTGCTTATTATTACTAGTAGAGTACAAATAACAATAAGACGGAGACAATTTAGGCCATTAAGAAGATGTTCATAATCTTGAAGCGAGTCTTTGATTTAGTCGTTATATGACTGCAACTGATCGAACAAACCACAAGAAGTTTCCCAAAGTTCTTTACCAAGTTTAGGATCTCTAGAAGCTTTTGACGATTTAATGGTCCTTCCTTTTCCTCCAAAATAGTAAACACCTGATGTCTCCTGCATTAGTAGTTGTAAAAAGAAGACGAGGATACTTAAAACAGTACCATATCAATATAATGCTACTTCCCTTCTAAAAAAAAAAATAATTCATAAAAATATATAGATTTTATTTTATTTAATAATTGTAAATCTTAAATTTTTAAAAGAATTAATTAAGTTTATTCAATTATATTGGTTTAATAAAAATTGATAATCACATAATATGATGCATTTATAATACAAATTTAACTTAGTTTTCTTAACTGGTGGAGCTAAAGCTGCATCAACAGAAGATTCAGCTCCTTCATCAGGAGTTTGGAGGAGGCCCATAACTTTGCAAACGAGAAACGCAGAAGCAGATACATATTTAGGAAACTCACGCAGTAGATTTGTTTTCACAAATCCAGGATCTGCAGCTCTGCATTTATGGAGCAAACCATTATCTTTAGACAGTGAAACACAAAGAGACAGTAATAATAAAGGAAGCATGCATACACAACAGAGACATGGTGTGAGTCATCTTTGCGGCGAAGCCGTCTGTGCAATTCATATGAGAAAAGTAGAAGGCATACTATCCAAGAAACATAAAACTCATCAGTCCCCAAGGAAGCATATACAAACTATATGTATATGACTGTTTTGGCTTACGTTTAGAATACTCGTAGACATGAGCATGAGGATATTGGTCCAATGTCGAAAAATGTTTTCCAGTTACATAATCCTTGTCAAGCTTCCCAATAGAAACTATGTAGACAAGGAACAAGATATCAGTTTCAATTAGCTGATAGGGTCCATCCATTAGTGAATTATTACACTATATATATTCACCATAACGATGTGCGAACGATACAACGTTCACGATCCTAGAAGGTACAGAGCTGTTTTTCAGAAGTGGTAAAAGAAGTTTGGTCATAGTGAATGGACCAATATAGTTTGTAGCCATCATCCTGAAACAGTTTTAGAATATTCAAATCCTTACTCCAATATTTGAGCATATCAATAACTATAGATACTAGTTCGAACAAACATATCCATGTCAAAAAGTGATGAAAACAAGACTTACCTGTCATAGCCACCAATGAGTGGTCGACTAGTAACTGCCATGATCCCAGCATTGTTCACTAAAAGCTGAATCGAAGGATGTAACTCTGAGTCCGAGAGCCATTGCTCTAGAGAGTCTTTAAATTTGAAGATTGTTGGAAAAGAAGTCAGGTCAACTACGAAAGATTTGAGTTGTGCATCTTTGTGCTTGCTTTTGATTTCTTTTATAGTCTGTCATAATAAGCCAAGAAAATGGTTCTTGCATCAAAGAAAGTGAGAACATATTTAATTCAAAGCAAAAACAAACATTTTTTTTTTGTTGTAAAATACCTCTGAAAGAAGCTGAGGAGACCTTCCAACTGAAAAAAAAAAAATCAAGAAAGACTACACCCCATTAAATGAAGAATATAGATACATTAACAGTTTAGGAAGAAATTAATGCATTACCAAGAACGACATGGAAGCCCTTCTCTGCAAGAGCAAATGCAGTGGCCTTACCAATCCCAGAAGTAGCCTGCAATCAAAATCCAACTCTAGTTCAATACAAAGATTCTCAGAAAAGGGCTTCAGTGAGCCACTGATGTGACTATTTGAGCTGAAAAAGGGTTTCAGTGAGCCACTGATGTGACCATACAAGCAACTGCAACTACAGGGAACCAAATTAAATATACTTACACCAGTGATAACACAAATAGGTCTTGAAGATCCAATCTTTGGATCGGTGGAGCTAGAATTTGGAGTAGTTTTTGAGCCAAAGATACTTGCTCTGAGCAATTTAAAGTAGGAAGAATAGAGACCTATACTCCAAAGAAACATGTTCCAAGAACTAGGTGATAATACAAAACGTAAAGCCTCTATCACGTCTTTAATCATTTTCTGAAAAGAGAAAAAAATAACATGTTTATTAGGATTCTGTTGAAGAATTATCATATTATGGATTAATGGATGGTTACATAGTATTAGAAGTAACAAACCGGAGATCCAAAATGATTCAGTTAACCGCAAATACTTGCAACAAAACTCTATCCAAACAAACGTTGAAGGAAGGAGAGATTAGGAGTGAAGGTTGCTGCATTTGATTTAGTTTTTAACAATCTAGCTAGGGCTAACTGATCTATGTTTGTAAACAGAAATATGAGACGTGGGGTTTGTTAATTTTCATATGCGTGTGTATAAAGAAATATGTGACGTAGGGTTTATTACTTTTGGCAAAAATTTCGTGTTATTAAGAAATTAAATAGCTCAACTTTTAGTAAAAGAGAAAGAATAGGAGTGTACGCTGGTGTGCTATGTGAATCCAGAATCATATCAAACACATGATTCACCTATTTCAAAGAGACGGAGAAAGAGTAAGATTCAAATTTGAATTCAACATCGAGAAAGCTGGTTTTGCGGATCTTGACAATCTGGTTCATCAAATTAAGATCATATAAGAGTTTGTATCTGTTTTACAATTACATTTAAACTTTGAGAATATGATATACATTGACTTAGACGTTACAGAAGCATGTTAAACACACAAAAGATCATGCCACAAAAAGAAAGGAGAAACTATAAAAAGTATTGATTTTCTTGAAATCGAAATTATACAGAAGAAAGAAAAATGAGACTGAATGAAATCCACAAGGCTCGAGCTTATCAAACACTATTGCTGAACCGGGTTGATCGTTTGGGCCGGTTTAGCTGCAGCCTTCTCACCATCCTGTTTCATTTCTTCCAAACGCTTTGCTACCTGGAGATTCATAACAAAACCATATATAGATTCAATATCTAAGTATCTCTTTTGTGTCCACAACGCATTGTTGCTTCATAGCTTGGTCATCCATTAAACAGACAGCTTTGAGTAAGGAAAAGAGTAGAACCTTGATGGAGTAAGCCAATGGAAGCAAAGTATCAGGATCCATGGCATCTTCAGGGAAGTTCCTCAAAGCATGCATAAGTTCCTCAAATGGCAATTTCACCAAATCATCATGGCAATGCTTCAACAATGCTAAACCCACTTTGAACACAATATTTATACCCTGTACACACCCACCGACCAAAAGAATCATATTAAATGATGCAAAACTGGAGTAAAGAAAGTGAATTTATAGTAAGATGTTGATTTTTTTACCTCGGCTAGAAACACATCCCAGATTCGTAGTGCTGAATGAAAAGGAAACGAGTAGGAAAAAACGGTAATGAACCATTGGCTTGCATACATACTGGGATTGATCATTTCTTGAGTGAAATGCTCTCCTAGTTTCGGCATTAGCTCTCTTACCAACTGATCAAACTGTAACAGATATTTCTGTACAAGTGGAAGCCCTGCCTACATTATTTACACAACTCATTAAGAATCATTTTTGTTTTCATCAAGAAGCATTTGACAGAGAATTAATCACTAATCTTGAAGACACTAATCAGAATAAAAAGTCTCTACAGGATTAGTTGGCACCAGAGAATTTTGATAAAAGCAGTCATAAACTAGTTCAAGAAGGAAAGGATTTTTTATATTCGACTTTACGTCACTTTCCTACACTATTCTTCAATGAACTTAAAGCAGCTCTATCACTTTCAAACTAGCGTACCTAAAGAGGCAAGTAGCTAAGATATCATCTTATAGAGTAAAGAAAGGTCTCTCACTTGATACAATCCTTCCATTGGAGAGTGAACTGCTCCCTTGAGTAATGCAACTAGTAACCAGAACGCATCTTCTTCGCTCATATACAGAAGCAACAAACCGGCTACGAACCCCATTCCCTGAACGTATCCGACATCTCTGTCATAGACAGAGTATGCTTTTAAAACATTGTATAGCGATCTTTGGCCTGGTCCATGTCTCTTCTGGAAGAAAACATGTGATGGGAAAGTACGGTTTATATCCCGAATGATATCGAGTTCTGATGCTGAAGTTTCATAAACCACCAGTTGCTACAATTAAATCAAGAGAGAGAATTATGAAACATATCAGAATCAAAAACAAAAACACATAAGGAGGTTAGTACTACCTCATAAACACCGGGATTCATAAGCAAAAGGTCTCGACTTCCGGAGATCAACTGCCAGACAAGACCCCTTAAGCAATCAGGGATCCCTTTACGAATCCGCCTTTTGACAACATGAGGTTTTCTCCTAACGTAATGCTTCCAGTCACTACCTCCAGCTCCTATCATCTTCCTCCATTTTGTCACCCTTCTCTCCTCCCTAATGAATTAACCATTTATGGTCAATTATACAAGTACAAACTCAACAAATAACAAAAAAGAAAAAGAAAAAAAAGACCACCCCTTCTATTTTCCTGCAAAATTGTTCATTTAGACATACTTTTCATAGTTAGTAGATGATCTAGTAGTCTTGACGAAACGTTGAGGAGAGTTTCTGCCATGTTCTTGCTTCAGAAACCCAAATCTATCAACCGGAACAACTACAGGGACAGGGACAGGTTCACTGTCATCTGTTCTCTTCTTTTCCATTTAACTTAACCTGAAAGAAAGAAAGACCAAACATTTGGTTAAGTAAAAAACTAAAAGATCTCCGACCAAGCAAACACTGTTGCAAAAAAACCATAAACACAAAAGTAGTAAATACAAACACAGATCGATCATACATTCATACCTAAAAAGCTTTACTCAAAGTTGATCATAAGATCTTTGGAGATTTGATTCTAAAGGGTATTTACAGAGCAAGTAGAATTAGATCAATGGTGATTGATCGAATGCTGAAAAACGCAAAAACAGCAGAATATTAGCAATATTATAATATGTATATAAAACTCATGAAGAATGGTGATCAGTTATTCATACTAGGAGAAAGACAAAGATGATTCAGACAACAAAACAAAAACAAAAGAGAGAAACTTTATCGAAACCCACCAACATTCCGATCTCAGATCAAAAGCGTTTGTATTCAAAACCTCAACTTTTCGAGACGATCAGAGGAGTTTTACGAACTCAAAGTTTCTCAATTTTTAGATATCTGAAGAACGACGTTGGGTTGGGAGATGATCCAATCACATACGCGTTTTTTTTTAAGAAGAAGACGTTCGAGATGTTACCAAAGAAGCTACATACAGACTTTATCCGAGGGAAAGCTTTTTTTTCTTTAACCCGAGAAACGGGTATCACGTTGTAAACCGGTTATAGTTCAATCTGATTTAAACCGGTTGGTTTAATAGGACTCAAAAATAGAAAGCTTATCAACTGATGATGATGATTGTTTTTTTTTTCTACTTTTGTAATATCCAAAAGTCAATACAGTAGTTTATTGGTGGTGGCAGAACCAGAGACCGTGGTTACACACTCTATTCGACGTTTCAAACATTTTAAACCAATTCCGTAGAAATAAACATAAACTTAGGACAGACATTGTTAAGAAGATGGAGGAGTCGTCTTGTGTTGAAGAATCTGGTAAACATCAACGACTCCTCCAGAAGAAGCAAACTCGGGATCAACTGCAGCTCTTACCGCTGTTCCTGCCACGGCTTTGACATTAACCGGAGGTATTAAAAGCGGTCCGATCAGAGGAATTTTCGTCACTTCTTTTGGGAACAGCTTCAAAACCTGTATGTTTTAGTAAAAAAAAAGGAGATCAAGACTTTCATCAGAGATTGTTTCAGAAGATTGATTGATGACAAAATCTTTTTTCTTTACCATTTCGAGAGGAGCTCCAATGAGACTAAGTGGCAGCTTTATGCTACCAACCTGACGTGTCCCGTGTATGAATCCTGGCCTTAGAACCGTTCCTAGGAAAGCACACAAACTTAATCAGTGAAGAACACACATATATATAGCCAAATGAGTTTACAATAAAAGTGACTGCACACCTCTGTTTCCGAACTTATCCAAAATCTCAGCTTCAGTTGCTCTCTGCAAGAACATTTGATAGATTGATCAATGAGATAGGATATTAAGCCAAGAAGACAAAGAAGAAGAAATGTACCTTTCCTTGGAAATACCCTCGAATCAAGTTATTTATGACACCAAAATCCGCAGCTGATATATACACAAATCTCTTCACACCTGATACACAACATGGTCTCTTGTCAGTATCTATATTTTATAGCAGATGACTAAACAATTCAAACAAAACAAGTCCCTTCAAGTTCTATGAAAACATCTAACCTCCTTCAGCAGCAGCTTTGACAGCATTAATGTTTGCAGTTCCGTTGATTCGGACCATCTGTGAGTTGGAACCGAAACCACCAACGCATGATATCTGCACCAAGCAAGCTTCCATTCCATATGAGATGATGATTCTGGTTGAAAGGATAGTCACTTTCTTTTTAATAAGATTTCTTAATTCATTACCACAGATGTTATTCCTTCTAGTGCAGGCTTCAGAGATACGGGTGAAAGCAAATCACCTATTCGTTTTAATTAGTAGAAAAAAAAAGGAAATATGGTCATTCAATGAAGTCTTTTTGCTTCTAAAATGATGAACAAAGTGAAATGTGTTTTTGAGAATACCTTGATGCCAGGTAACATCATTGACCCATGGATCATGCAGAGAAGATCTTCCAGACCTAATAACAGTGAAGAGTCAGTTATGTACAGATGATGGTCTATGAGCAACAGCCAGGATTTAAAACAACAACAAAAAATAAGGGATACAAATATACCTGCTAAGACTGGATACAGAGAAACCTTGTCTCAGTGCCTCCTTGCATATATGTGAACCTACATAACCATTTCCTCCCAATACCAATATCTGCAGCATTCATTACAAAAAGTAACATTCTCAAAACCAAAATGTGATAGGTGGTTCAGAGAGCAGAGAGATAGAGACAGTTTGTGAACAATGTCAAAAACAACAAGGAATCAAACAAAGAATATGTGTACGACGGAAAAGAGAATGTATCAAAAGAGCACTCTCTAGTCTCTACACGCCCAGAGTCTACCCAACAAATAACATTTACACACATGAAAATCAAAAATCTCTTGCTTCAGCTGACACGATATTCTTAACTAATTTCGCTGATGTTGCAATCGGATTTGAAGAACTCTGTTTTCACAAAAGGTCGCATCAAACTCAAAAAAACGAATAAAAGGTATGATCTTTCACCTTATCTCTGGAATGTGAACCAGCAGCATCAGACAAAGGCCTTGAATTTCCTCTCTGAGTGATTGAACTGTCACCAGAGAAACAAGGATCATCATAAAATCAATCACAATGTATCCATATGAAGAAACCATCACATTGTATGTAGCAATAATAAATAAACAATTGGGGGTAGAGCCAATGCCCACAAAAATGAAAAATCAATACAACTGATCAAAAACAGAATCTAAATAAGCCCTAAGATCAATGCTTTGTCCGACGAACATCATCTGGAAAGGGAATTCGAGAAGCCTAAAAGAAGAACTCACGACATGGTGACGAGAGAAGAGGATGACTGTGATCGTGTCCGAATCAGAGACCTAAACATGGTAAACCTATAAGCTGAGTAACCGACAGAGCTTTGTGTAAGCAAGCAAGCGATCAAAAATAATTATAAAATTGCTCTCTAAACCCAATTAAAAGATTAAGGAAATTAACAACTGTACAGTACTGTTGTGGCGTAACAGCTTCCACGTAGGCGATCACACTGGTTCGGTTTGGTTGATTCAGATCGGGTCTGAATCCTGTAAAATGGCTTCTATATCCGTCGTGTATATATATGATATATGGGCCTTGAAAGCCCTTTCAAAACATAAGTAATTTATTAAAATGATTCGCATTTCGAAAGCGCAGAATTATTATCAATACAAATTAAATTTATATGATATAAATTTGCATATTTAGATATATATTTACATTTAAATGTTACATTTAAATATTACACATAAAACATTATATTTAGTGTTATGAAACACGATCCGTTATTAAATTGAAAAGATCGATGATTTTATATGTAACTCGGTTTGATTTTTTATTAAAACTTATTATTTAAAAATTCTATAAATCCCCCCCCCCCCAAAAAAATTCCTCCTAAAACTTGAGACTCTATTACTGGTTCAAAGTGCGGAAATATTTTTGAAACAAACCAAATCTATATGATATAAATTTGTATTTTTATTATGTATTAACATTTACATGTTTCACATAAAGCGTTAAATTCAGTGTTCTAAAACATAATATGGACCCCTAGTTAAACCGACAAAATGATTACTTTATATGTGATTCAATTTGGTTTTAAGAAAAATAATCTACTATGATTAAAAGTTGCTAATAAAGCCAAATGAGGCTGTCCACGTGGGCAGAAATAATCACCCAATCAAAAGACTCTAAATTGCCACGTCAACTACAGCTTATTGTTTCAGGTCAAGATATTCGACGCCTCTTTCTTTTCTCATCCTCACGATTCATCATCCTCTCAAGATCTTTGACGCCTCTTTCTTTTCTTATGCTCACGATTCATCATCCTCTCAAGATCTCTGACTCCTCTTTCTTCCTTTCTCACATTCATGCTATATGTGATGATGCGGTGGTTCAGGATGTTAAAACCCAAAAAGATTACTACTGGTCTTCGAATTTGGGTAGATGTCTAATGACCTTTCTGAGACACTTGATACTGTTCTGTGTGTGTGTGTGTTGCAGTAGTGAGACCCTCCAACGATGTTCGCCGGACCTTTTGCTCTGTCCCCCCTCTCATACAGATACATCCACCGGAACAATCCGACCCAAACACCATCCCACACCGTCTCCTCTCAATCCTCACCAACCCCAATTGGCACAAGTCTCCGTCTCTAAATCAAATCCTCCCATCCCTACGCCCTTGCCATGTGTCCTCCCTCTTCTCACTCGACCTAGATCCCAAAGCATCTCTCAATTTCTCCCACTGGATCTCTCAAAACCCTAGATTCAAACACAGCATCTACTCCTACGCCTCTCTCCTCGCTCTCTTGACAAGCAATGGGTATGTAGACGTTGTGTTTAAGATCAGAGGGTTGATCATAAAGAGATGCTTTGTTTGTGTTGGATTTATGTAAGGAGATGAATAAAGAGGGAACTTTTAAGGTTAAGGTTGAGTGGTACAACACGTTGTTGAATTCGTTAGCTAGGAATGACAGTATTTAGATTGATTTCTAGCAATTCTTTTCTAACATCTCATTTATCTTTCAATCGATATTTTATCTTGGTGATGAAGATGCAGGAACAAGACACTAAGACAACTAAATACTGTCCTGTGAACACGAATCCAGGGATAGAGGTGATTAGATTCTTTTTTCACGTTTTTTTATAGTTGATTGCTTAAAAAGTCATTTTGATGAGATTTGTTATTATCAATGCAGACTTCTCATGTAGGTCTTGCGAAGGAAACACATTCTCCACGTTTTCAAGCCATCTTACGTGTCACAAGTGGGCGGAAGAAGAAGCCTCATGACATCAAGAGCTTCTCTCATGAACTCAACTCCGAAGGTGTTAGGCCTTTCCCCGTGTGGAGATCTCGAGCCGTTGGTCACATGGAGGTTTGTAATTCTCTCTTTCGCTTATGTTAATTTCTCATAACCTGTGATTGAAAAAGGAAGCTCACCTGTGATCCATGGATTTATTCCTGCTGCTCGCACCACTCACTACCGTTTCCGTAAAGGTTGTGTGAATCTGACAATAATTTCTTTGTAGTTCTAGCAGAGAACCTTCGATCTCAGAGACTAAGAATTGAAAGAACATATTTTAGTCTTTAATAAATCAACCCTTTTTCACTTATATATGTCTTCTCTTTGCAGAGTGTTTCAGAGGTCGTTGCAGTCTGTGAAGCGATTTAGCCGGTACAAGAATCCAGAAGCTGTTCGAAAAGTTCGAGAGTATCCTCTTTCTCAATTACTTGAAATTACTTGATATATAGTGTTTACCTCATGGTTGCTTTGACATGTTTGCATCTTTATGACAATGTATTGGTTCTGATTTTCTAAGCACTGAATGCTAAATGATACAGGTTCCATTCCTTACCTTTGTGAAAATATACCATATGGTTTACTGAGGTAAAATGTTAAATCTTTTCTATCATCAGCTAAGTCGTTTTCATGACACAAGACTTTAAAACCATTTCATTGGACAGCTCTGTGTTCTTGGCAATCTCTGCCATGAAACTACTGAAGAGCAGTGGCAATGGTTTCCTTCTCTCAAGGTATAACAAAGAGCATTCTAACCTTTCCTATTCGGTGGAGTAGCTTTCTTATGTCTGTTGACTTTTGAGATGATGTGAGCGTCTTTCTAGGTCCGCCGCAAATTGCTCTCCACCTGACATTGCCTGATAGCAGCAAGAATGGACTCCTTAAATTGCTTGCCTTAATCTTTCTGAAGATAGTATCTTCTTATTTAAGATCTCAATCATTGAAGAAGTTCAGGTTTCCTTACATTGCAGCAATAAGATTGGATATAAGATCATCATGACGGTTGATACATCTCTGCTTTGTGCCTCATTTGAACCATAGATGCTGACTCATACTGCTCTACATATGATCACTTTTACTTTAGATTATGCTTTGTATATTGTCAGGTCCTGTTTCGTAATTATTTGTTTCTTTACTGTTTTACTCAGACTGTTTTTCTTTTCCTATAAGATAAATAAATACTACTTAATTGTAAAATGTGGTCGGTCATTGACAATTTGAGATACTAAGACAATACTGTCGAGAACTGATAACGTCACTGATTAACGTCTTAGTGTCCAGTAAAAAGATTTACCTCAGACCCGGACATCGCCTTGCTTCTGACCTAACCATATATTCTCTATGTATAAAGTTTTTATGGTGTGCTTAGTTTTGTAAGCTTTGGTTTCGTATAAGTTGATGTGAAGCCTAAGTAAGAAACTATATGATACCTCGATCTGGTGAACCATAGGAGATTACATGAGTAATAATGAGGTTTATACATGGCACCCTGTTAACCGGATTTCCATTAGCAAACATGATTGAGGCAATCATTGAATGTCAATTAAAGTTATAAATTGTCATTCTTATATATATTAAAACACAACTACATTCTTTGGATTTTCTTAGGGAAACATACAAATAGCTCTTCAAGAATATTATTATATTTTATTTCGCTTCTTGAAAACAAGTTTTTTACATGATTTCAGAATTTTTTCAATTCACATCACTTTTAGATTTCAATTGTTCTTCATTACACCATTGCCTTAACACTTAAGAGCGAATTCATACAGATTTTGTTATCACCAAATAATAAGTTAAAAATGTTTGAATTGTCTGTTAATTTAGCCATATTTTTATAAAGTTCAGATAAACGAGATAATATAATAGTTGAATTTTGAAATAAAATTATTTATATTCAATTTTTTTACCAACTTATATCTTTTGATATTTAAGAAAATTGGTTTTTAAAAAAAAAAAATCAATTAGTATTATTGAAGGTTTATAATATACTTTTAGAGTAATAAAAATATAAAATATACTTTTAGAGTAATAAAAATAGTTTATAATTAGTATTATTGAAGGTTTTTATTAATTTTTCATATAGTTAGTTGAGTATAATATCTTTCAATTACAGAAAATTATCTATAAATTATATTTTACTTATATAATATTATTTTCAAATACAATCACAATTTTGTGTAGTGCTTATTTTCAGAGATATTAAAAACTAAAAATAAATTTAACAATAAACATCGCTTGATCAAATAAGTATCAATTAGTTTAATGAGCTAGATATATGATATTTTATCATTATTAAAATTATTTGTTTTCTAAATATTAAATTTTCTTTTAAATTTTATGTTTTATGTTTGTGAAACTAAATATAACCATGGATGACTAGGTTGCACGGGTACGCCAATCTAGTGCCGTCTCAAGTACCAGGTTCGGCGGGGGGACAGGTACGGCTCGGGTACGCCTGGGAAATGTCCCCAACACGTGTAAGGTGAACCCGGGACGGCCTGACTCAGCGGGGACGAACTTGGTCAGAGACCCGAGACGTCTCGGAAACGTTTCCAAACAAAATGGACGTATCCTTTTGATTTTTTGTGTTATGAAATTGAGTCTAAAAATATTAAAAGATGTAATTAAAAAATTTAGGTGTAGATGAGCAACACACAGTTAAATTTGTTCATAAACTTGAAAACACAGAAATTTGTTCAAATTTCTTACCGAAAAAAGTTCCCGGAGAAAGAAAACATAATTTTGGTTTGAGGAAGAAGAAGATGACACCATGTCATGTGACTATATATGCTTTGACTAACATCTTTAAATATCACACTTCTTTAAAATTTGATTTAGTGTTTATTATTCAGAATATATAAAACAATAAAATAATGTCATCAACTAAAATCCAATTAAATCAGAGCAAAACAATGCTTAGACTTAAACTTTTTGTAAGTTTTATACTATTTATAGAATTAACTTGTGATCTGTATATAAAATATGTTATATATATATAAGTATTTTATTGCCGTATCCCAACCGTATCCGTATCTTAAATTTTTGGTTTTGCCGTTTTCCATCCCCGTTTCCAATCCCGGTACCCATATCAGTGCTGCTTAGATGGATGAAGTAGTGGAAGCTGCAAAGGTCTCAAACGCTCATGATTTCATCTCTCAGTTCCCTCATGGTTACAATACTCAGGTTAGATTCCAGTTTAATTTACAAATTGCGTATGTTTTTTCTTTAAAGGTTGGATCAAGATTCAAAAGCTATATTACAAAACAGGTAGGAGAGAGAGTGCAAATGTCAGGGGAACAACAGCAGAGGACAGCAAGTGCACGTGGAATAATTAAATCACCAAATATTCCTCATTTAGACGAGGCAACAAGTGCATTGGACTCAAAATCTGAAAGAGTAGTCCAAGAAGCCTTGGACAATGCCTCTCTTGGTCGTACACCAATTGTTATAGCCCACCGTCTCTCTATTATTCGTAACTCTGATGATATTTGTGTCTACTCTAATTTTTTTGTAAAATTTATATCAAAATAACTTAAAACAAATTATGTCAAAACATAAAAATTGTATATGCTAAATAACCTAAATAATTAACGAAACTTTCTGGCTTTTGGTGTGTACCACTAAAATAAATCATCATATACTACTAAACTAAAAACTAAAATAAGTTTATGGCTCTTGATTATGCACAGTAAATTGCATCACAAATGTTTTTTAATTAGTTGTTACTTCCAGTCTATCATATACATATATACCATTGGTTTTTGACATAATTTATTATAATGTTATACCAAATAAGTTTGCTAAAAGATCAATTTAGATTAGAACATCAGCAATTAATGCATTTTGAGAAGGTTTTACAAATTTAGAAAAAATTTAATTTTGCTTTACGTTATTTCAAATCCATTTTTTTAAAAAACACCATTTTAATCTGTGTAATAAGTAATTTAATAGTGTAAGAAAATAATAGAAGTATGTTTCTACTCGAACATACAAATAGTATTGCAAGGTTATATATATATTCTCTTACCACTACAACAATGACTAATATATCTGTGTATTTGAAATGTACATAAACCAAAGTACGTTTATGTAGTATCATAACCTGGAATCATTCATATTAAAATCTGCTATAAATTTCACATTATTAAAATAAATTATTATTAACAAAGGAAAGGATTATGCAATGGCACACATATGATCCTAACCTACATAGGCGATCGCGTGTTGAAGTTAGAAATTATCACCGGGTCACACATTGGAAAAGAAATCTTAATCCCAAGAATTATCCTTTTGCATCATGAAACAAAGCTATCTTTCACCTTACATCGACGATAATTCCCTATCAGATTGTGTTACGTAATGACCATGAACAAAATCCAAGACCAAAGTCTAAAGGAGGTCATCTTATATCTACCTAAACCGGTCTTCGCTTATGATCAACTTTGTGTGGCCTTCTTGCGTGTAACAAGCAAAACTAATCATAATTGTAAGTTGTTACAAAAGTGAGGATTCACATCAGCTAAAAATGAAGAACATAGTCTACAAAAAAATATTCAAATATCTTCCTTACCACAGAGGTATTTAAATTAAAGATTAACAATTCCATATCATTTATCTTAAAATATATTCTCAACAGATTTAAAATGCCCAAGGGAAACTATAATCACATAGAGATTGAGTTACACATAGTCGCTATGCAGCTAAGCCAGATATATATCTTTTGTATATAAGTTAAGGTATATAGGTATTGCTTAACTTGAGGTCAATAATTTGATCTTTATTATTTTCAGGATATTTCTTTCATACGATCTAGATTGCTGATATCTATCTTCTCTTCTTCCAAACACATTATCTCTTTCTTATTTTATTTAAGATCATTTAAGCTACTCTTTTTTATTTTTTAATGTTTGGTAACACTTAATAATCACCAAGTTTACATAATTATTAAAAAATACATTGTTATAAATCCAAAATTGTATCAAAAATTATGATCCTAAACAAAACTAATTAACCACGTATCCGCGCGTAGCGCGGAAAAACACCCTAGTCGTTATAAAAATTCTATAAACCCGCAAAAAATCGTGTATTAAGGTTGATGAACATTATTTTTACAAGAATATTCAAAAATATTTTGAAATAGATTAACCTATTAAGAAACTCATTAGCTATATATTGTTTTTACAAATTATACAGTTTTTGAGGCTTAAAAACTAAAAAATTATATTGTCATTAATGAAAATAAAATTTATTCATTATCATTAAGGGTAATTTTGAAAAACGTAAAAAATTATTAAAAGGAATGATCCATTTTTAATAATATTGATTTCATAAAAAAATATTTCAATTAAAAATTTTAAAACCCAATTGTTTAATTCATCAAATCATTAGAGTTTAATACAGTTCCTAATTCTCTGTCAAATCCGAATTTTAAAATTTGGAGTTCGTACTAGGAAAACCATGACTCCCTTAAATATTTCTTTTTGTTTTGTTTCTTTGAGGAAATTATTAAATTAACAAAACTTAAGAAATGTGATAACTATTAATAAAATATACACATGTGGTATAAAAATAAAGAAATAAACGATTTTTATCCTTTTCATACTCAATAGGAACCTTAAAATACTGTAGCAGTCCTCTTAATCATTGTAAATTTGTAATATGCTTTGCTTGCAACCATCTTAATCATTCGCTAAGCAACACATCAAATCAAAAATCTCAAGCATCTCCCAAAACTATTCACGAAATGTGGAATTTTTGTTAGATAACTCATTCAAACCTTGTAATTTGCTTTGCTTGCAACCCTCTTAATCGTTCGCTAAGCAAACGTCAAATAAATAATCTCAAGCGTCTCCCAAAAATATCCACAAAATTTGTAATTTTGTTAGATAACAAATTCAAACTAAGTTGTTAACCCACATTTTGGGTTACATCTACGCGAAACATTCCTACAGATTATTGTAATCAAAGCCACATTCTGGATGTTAATTTTTTTGCTTCATTTGGGCATATATCAATCAGTATATTCTACAGGGTTTAGCATCTAACAAGTCTCCTGCACGTTCCCAAAACCTTTCCTTGTATAACTAACTTTGTTCATATAAGCTTATTGTACTGTAAGCCAACTTCAATAAGCCAACTTGTATTATTATTTTACAAAGTCTCCCCTATATTTTCTTCTAACTAAACAAATCTTTTGAGTCTTAGCCGCCGAGAGATAATTTTTTTTTTTTTATTGTTTCAAGCTGATGGTCGGAGACTTGTACAGCTCCGACATCGGCTTGTTTAATTTGTTTTGTTATTTTTTTATTTGTTTTGTTTCTAATTATTTGATTTGTTGATTGTCAATTTATTTTGAATTTGGCAAAAAAATTATTGTTATTTTATATATTTTTTGCAATGAATTTGGGAAGACAAAATATTCAATTTAATTGAATCGTTTGGAAAAGATAATTAACATATATTTTGCGGATGGTGGTGACTAGTCTTACCGGTTTCAATCGTTAGTGGTTCTTCATTTGATGGTGATGAAAGGTAGCATGAATTTATATCATTCGATAATCTCTTTGACTATTTATTATCAATAGAACAATATAAAAACTTGTTTTCTATTGGTAGCTCTTACTGAAATAATTAAAGGGTGGTGATAATCGTTTTACTGAAATAATTAAAGGATGGTGATAATCGTTCTCGACTCAGTTTGAAACATAGTGTTTTTGAATTCATACGAAGCTTATTTCCATTGAGATTCAACTATTCCAAAAACTAATATGAAGCTTTTATATAATAATCTTTAGTTATTTATATGCAAATAGATGTGTTAGTTTATTTTAGACCTCTCTTGGTATATCCATTTTTTATATTTGTTTTGTTAATTTCATTGTTTAAAACTTTTTGTCTACAAGACTTAATAATACAATCCTTATGAGAAAAAAAAAAACAAACCTTATGAGTCAAGACAGTGTCATCTTATATATTAAAACAGAAGTCACCATTTCACTTTATGTGTGATTTTTTAATTTGGACCATCTTTATAAATTTTACATATATTAATTATGATATCTTTTCATATCTTATTTTTATTGGAAATGTAAATAAATATTTGGAAACAGATTCTAACAAAATCTTTTTGCAATCTTTTAGAAATATATTTCGAAAATCAGTTATTTCAAATTTTAATTATCATCAAATAGAAATATATCATAAAACTAAATTAAANATATCTTATTTTTATTGGAAATGTAAATAAATATTTGGAAACAGATTCTAACAAAATCTTTTTGCAATCTTTTAGAAATATATTTCGAAAATCAGTTATTTCAAATTTTAATTATCATCAAATAGAAATATATCATAAAACTAAATTAAAATGATATATTAATATATTTATTTTCATAAATAGAAATATATATGTTAAAGTAATATATTATGTTGTCAAAAAGGGTTAACATACTATGTATTACATGTATACAAATTAATATATCTTAAATTTATATATACAACAATATATCATCTAAAATTAATATACATAAACAATCACCATTTGGTTGACAAAACAAAATATTAATTATTAAATATTTAAATATGTGATTAATATTAAAAATATATATACCCATAATAATGTAAACAAATATATATAAGAAATTAAAACTCGCTCGGTTGAGCGGGTCAAAATCTAGTTATTAATTAAACTAATCCTTGTTGTTGTTGATAACCCAATTGACTAAGCAACCTTTTGAAGAAATGAGGCGCAAAGTCAAGAGTCTTTGTGACTAAACCCTTTATAAACCCCAAGAGCAAGAAGCAGAGCCCTCCATCACCTCCTCTTCCTCAAGAAATGGCTTACTCGACAGAAACGAACGCTCCTTATCTCTTCCCCAGATCCAATTCAACTGTTTTACCCGACCCGTCTCGCTTCTTCAGCCAGGAGCTCCTCTCATCTCCCCTCCCAACAAACTCATTCTTCCAAAACTTCACTCTCAAAAACGGCGACCAAGCCGAAAACTTCCACCCTTACCTCATCAAAACATCTGCTCCATCTCTCTCCATCTCATACCCATCTCTCACTCACAACCCTTCTGTCATCTACAACACCTTCACCGCCGACATCATCATCACCGGGTCAGACGGACCCGACCCGCACTCCAGGAAAACTCATCTAGTCTCTTCCTTCAGCGACCTCGGCGTGACGCTAGACTTCCTTTCCTCTAACCTCAGATTCTTCCTCGTTAGAGGAAGCCCCTTCATCACCTGCTCTGTCTCCAACAACAACTCCCCCATCACAATCTCAACTCCCCACGAGGTTTTATCCTTCTCCGGTAACAGGTCATCCACCAAGTACACCGCCAAGCTCAACAACAACCAGACATGGCTTATATACGCCTCTTCTCCGATCAATCTCGTCAACAACAGCGGTTCCACGATTAACTCCAGTGGGGGATTCTCCGGTATCATCCGGTTCGCCGTGCTACCGGATTCAGATTCCGAACCAATCCTAGACCGGTTCAGTGTCTGTTACCCAATTTCCGGAGACGCTGACTTCACAAAACCATTTTCTTTGGAGTATAAGTGGGAAAAGAGAGGCTACGGAGACCTCCTCATGCTCGCTCACCCTCTCCACCTCAAGCTACTATCCGGTTCAACCACCGTTCTAGAGAACTTCCGTTACAATAGCCTTGATGGAGATCTTGTAGGCGTCGTCGGAGATTCATGGCTTTTAAAACCAGACTCTCTTCCCGTGACGTGGCACTCTCTCAAAGGAGTCAAAGAAGATCACCGCCACGAGATCATCTCCGCCCTCGTCGAAAACGTCAACGCCTTGGACTCATCTGCTGACGTCACGAGCTCCTCCTACTTCTACGGGAAACTCATCGCGAGAGCCGCGAGGTTAGTTTTAATCGCCGAAGAAGTTTCCCACCTCGACGTGATCCCGAAGATTAGAGACTATCTCAAGGCCATGATCGAACCGTGGTTGGACGGGAGTTTCGGACCGAACGGGTTCTTGTACGACCCCACGTGGGGTGGTCTGATCACGAAGCTAGGGGCTAATGACTCGGGAGGTGACTTCGGGTTCGGGATTTATAACGATCATCATTATCATTTAGGTTATTTTCTATACGCGGTTGCCGTGCTCGTCAAGATTGATAACTTGTGGGGCAAGAAATATAAACCTCAGGCGTATGCTGTGATGGCGGATTACATGACGTTTGGGAAAAATGATTCGAATTCGGTTTATACGCGTTTGAGGTGTTTTGATTTTTTTAAGCTTCATTCTTGGGCGGGTGGGTTAACGGAGTTTACTGACGGGAGGAATCAAGAGAGTACGAGTGAGGCTGTGAATGGTTATTACTCCGCTGCTTTGTTGGGGTTGGCTTATGGCGATATAGAACTTGCGGCGGTGGCTTCGACTGTTTTGTCGTTAGAGATTCACGCCGCGAAGATGTGGTGGCAGGTAAACGATATTTTTAAATTTGAAGTAATAGAATTGAACCGGAGAATTGATTTGAACCGCACGAACATAGAAACTAAATTGAAACGGAATGCTATTCGGTTTTCAATTTTTCTTGTGGTTAGGAATTGATTGGTTATCTTCGGTTCGATTGGGGTATTATCTACCAAGTTCAAACCAAACCAAAAACCAGTCCAATCTTCATGCTATCAATACTATTAAAAGAGAAGGAGTCCTAAAAAATCTACTTATACAAGTTGTTTGGACTCTTTCATTAGACTAATATTTTTTGGTCTTCCCTTATATTTATCTAACTATATAAATACTATTTCTATAACTATATAAATACTTTATAATTTAAATGAACTCATTTATTACTTTCCATAATCTACTATATAATTACTCTAGCAATAAATCTCTATATACTTTAATATATTTAATATCTTTACACAAATTGGAAGTTAAAAAGCTTTGGTGTCTAATATTCAACTACAAAACTTTGATTTAGTTAATTACATGCAAATAATTATTAAAATTTGATATTGCATTTTTATACATGAACTAAATGATTAATTGTATATATAAAAATAAAATGGGTCTAAATGGGTTGGAGATTTTAATAGTATAGATGTTTATTTATTTTACAAATTCTAACAATGCATATGATATGTTTTTATTTAATTTTAAATGTAAAATATCCTACAATTTAAATTTCAGATAGTTTGAATATCTTCAATATTTTGAATAGAAAATATTCGGGTAATTTATTTGTTTGCCTAATTTGGTTTATAAATAATATTTCTGGATATTTATTATTTAAATATTATATATAATTAATATTTGTAGGTATGTAATTTANGTAAAATATCCTACAATTTAAATTTCAGATAGTTTGAATATCTTCAATATTTTGAATAGAAAATATTCGGGTAATTTATTTGTTTGCCTAATTTGGTTTATAAATAATATTTCTGGATATTTATTATTTAAATATTATATATAATTAATATTTGTAGGTATGTAATTTATATTTAAAAATTTTAAATACCCATTTGGTTCTCGGTGCGGTTTCTATTTTTTGGTTCCAGAAATATATGATATGATCGATTATTTATGAAATTTGGTTTAATTTTCGTTTTTTTTTTCAGTTTGTTACGGTTCAGTTCACCTGGAAAAATGTATAACATGTGCATTATGTTATATAAAAATTCATTTATAAGAATTTATTTTATTTCAAAAATAAACTCGCGCTTTTTAAGCGCGGGTCAAAATCTAGTGTTAGTTTTAAATTTTAGATTTGCATTATTAATTTTTTTGTCTTGGTGGCGTGACAGGTGAAAGAAGACGGTACAATGTACCCGAGCGATTTCACTGCGGAGAATCGTGTGGTTGGGGTTTTATGGTCGACGAAGAGAGACAGTGGCTTATGGTTCGCGCCAAAAGAATGGAAAGAGTGTCGCCTTGGAATCCAGCTATTACCGATACTTCCGGTGTCGGAGATTCTGTTCTCGGATGTGAACTTCGCGAAACAGCTTGTGGATTGGACTGTACCGGCGTTAGCGAGAGAAGGAGGCGTCGGAGAAGGGTGGAAAGGCTTTGTGTATGCTTTGGAAAGTATATACGACAAAGATGGAGCGATGGAGAAGGTTAAAGGATTAAAAGGGCATGATGATGGGAACTCTCTGAGTAATCTATTGTGGTGGATTCACAGTAGAAACTCTGGTGATGCTTGATCATGTTTCTTATTTATTTCTTTTGAGAAAAAGCTGTTTGTGTTTCGGTTTGGTTAAATGAAACAATAATGTTTAATGTAACTTGATTTATAAAATAAAACTTGGTTTTAACCTCATCATTGATCTTTGGTTACTACTGAGATTTCAATTGTTTTGAGTTGTTGGTTTTGTTTCTTTACACACGCGATCTCTCTAGTTACATAGGTTTTGTAATAACAGAGTTCGCAGTAAATACTTAAGTAAAACTGTAAAATCAACACAAGAAAGTTCATTAGTTTAACTCGCTTTCTGATTTAATAAGTGTTTTAAATTTATAAATTATAGTACATGAAAGAAACAATCAATGCAGTCATTTTGTCTCCTATATACCTATATGCATATGTGTACATTAACCACACGCAGAAACTCATGTGTCAACAAGGCACATTATATATTACAAGTGAAAGAACTCTATCATGTGCATATATGCTTTGTGTGACAAGTGAATTCCATCCCGGTTTGTGCGGCTATCTTGAAACTCTTTCTTCAAAGAAGCTATGACTTCTTCAAACTGGTTGACATGCTCCATTGCAAATTCCTGAAGATATTTCAGACATCCCTTGTCGTTATAAGGACAAATGATTGATTCTTCTTCTGGTCGTTGAGAAAATGCGAGGGAGAGACATAGCAGTAGGACAAGTGCTATCAAAAGAACGCAAAGAGAAGTACAAGGAAGCAAAAAGTTAGACGCCATGATTCGTTTAAAGCTTTTGAGGATCGCAAAACAGATTAAAGAATAGCAACAAACAAAAGCCGATGAAGATAAATGGTGATTATATCTATATATAGTTGATGACCACAACAGTCTTTTCTTATAAGTTAGGCGTTATTTGGTTTTCCATCTGGATAAGTTATTGGTCTCTTCAACCTTATCAAGTAATTAGTTTTATCCCTTTGATTCATATCCGAGGTTAACAATTGTTTTTCTTTGCACAGCAGTGGAGTATAAGAAAAAGAGATTAACTATAAGTAGAAAAATAAGGCAAAAAGTAGGATCAGGGACAGTTTTTCTTTGTAATAACAACTTTTATTAGCTTAAAATCAGGGACAGTTAATTATAGTTATAGGATAGAAAAGTAGTAAATTTATCTTAATTCTATTAAAATAGTAACATGACCTATCGATAAAAGTTATGTCCAACAATTATTTCAACAATACATAGCAATGTCCTTCTAATTTTCCAAAATAACCACCAAATAATCTTTTTTTTTTAAGAAACCACCACTTCTTAATAGTTTGATCCTATCGTTTACATAGTTTTAATTTTCGAGAGTAACCACCACATGTCACGTTACGGCTACATGCCTAATAATCAGGGGCCAAAAATCTGATAACTACATCAATAGATCTTAATTAACTAAACATTAAACAACATTTTTATAAAGATGTGAATATGTAGGGATTGTCTATTTGTATCAAATGTATAGTTTAACAATATAAGAAATTCAATACAATTATCAAAATACTTCACTAATCATTTTTATAAAAAAAATTATGCAAATTCAATCACAGATAAAAACACAAATATGATTACCAAAAATACATATATGATACAAGGAAAGACACAAGTACATACTTATGAAACTTGATTTATTTAATATACTAACAAAAATTATATATTCTATTAAATTCATATCATACAAAAATATGATTATACAAACACACAAACATATAAATTATATTAGACAGGAATTTTAAAAATAAAAAATATACCCGCCCTTTCGAGGGCGGGTCAATATCTAGTTTATCTGTCACTTACACGTGCCAGATAATTTATACCACTATCGTAAACGTACATCCCTTGTATGAATGGATTTTGCATTTTGAAGATTTATCATGTAGTCATCTAAGAATACAATTTTCATGGAGTTGAAGTACGTTATTTGAAAAACGCTACATATTAGAAGTGTTGCGGTTTTGTAGTATTATCCACTACTTTACAACATAAATACTGTACCTGCGGTTTTCTCATTTTAGTTTTCTAATAACCGCACTTCCCTATAAAAATTTGTGAATGGTAAATGATAAGCGGTTTTCACAATTCCGCACTGAATACCGCGAATTACATGTTGCCATTCTCAACCTAACTATAAGTAGAAAAATAAGGCAAAAAGTAGGATCAGGGACAGTTTTTCTTTGTAATAACAACTTTTATTAGCTTAGGATCAGGGACAGTTAATTATAGTTATAGGATAGAAAAGTAGTAAATTTATTAATCTTAAAACATGTCACTTACACGTGCCAGATAGTAATTTATACCAGTATCGTAAACGTACATCCCTTGTATGAATGGATTTTGCATTTTGAAGATTTATTATGTAGTCATCTAAGAAAGCAAGGTTTTATAACAAGTTGACTGTTACACTATCTATCAAATTGGACTACAAGAAGTATGAATGGATTTTGCATTTTAGTTGAACCTTTGAAACTTTTGGGGTTTTGGGGAAGTAAATAGTTTTTTGTATGTGTTGATTTTTGTAAAAGAAACTCCAAGATATTGTTTCTTTCGAAATGATAGACAAGACGTGACAACAAGTGTGGGTAAGGTGGCTCTTTTTGTTTCTTCAAAGAATTAAGTTTGTATAGTTTTTTTTAGAGCAAGTTTGTGTAATCTTTTTTTTTTAAGTTTCTTAAAAGAAAATACGTTTATGATACTAGTTGTGGAGAACGAGATGTCAATTACCAGACGCTATAATCTGTAAATCTGTAACTACGTTAAAGCTAAAATATAGAAAACGAATAATTTCTTTCAAATATTATTATTAATTAACAAGAACATATATTAGTAAGAAAATAACATTATTACTTTGATACTGGCATCCATACTTGCTAATAATTAATAGATTACTGAAAAGTGAAGACTAAAGAAAAATATATACGTGGGATGTTCTAGTGGTTGGTGGGCACTGCCACATGATCTTCTCTAAGACCATGTGCATCAATGAACCCCCCCATGGGGTTCATAGGTATTTTTTAATGATTTATGATGGGATCATAAAAAGTGATGATCCCGGGTTAATTGTTCATCTTCATCAATGAACCCGAAATCGGGGTTCATAGGAATAAATAATTATTATTTTGAAGAAATAATTTTTTTAAAAAAAAATTTATTATTCAATAAAATGAGAATAAGTAGGTAAAGAATGCAAAAAAGATTTTTATTCAATAAAATGAAAAAAATTATTATTAATTTAAGGGTTTTTATTTTTAATTATTCAAGTTATTGAGAATTCAGAAAGATAGTAAAGAATGCAAAAAAGATTTTTATTCAATACATAGAGAATTCATGAAAATACAAAGATTATTCGATACATTGAGAATTAATGAAAATACAAAGATTATTCATCCAGATTACCAAATTTTTGCCATATGTTTTCAACTAAATCAGCTTTCAAACGAGCATGTGTCTGTGAATCCCGAATTGAATTGCGAGTGTCTTGATAATGGTTCGCATTCACAGAAGGTGTTTGTGTAACTTGGGAACTTCTGCTTGACTCAGCTACATCGAACTCAGATGTATCATATTGTGTATATCCGTCTCGTTCATCCTCTACTATCATATTGTGTAGTATGACACAAGTTCTCATAATTCTTCCGATTTTTTCCTTTTCCCATAGTTTAGCTGGGTTTTTAACTATTGCAAACCTCGCTTGCAATACGCCAAAAGCACGTTCGACATCTTTTCTGGCCGATTCTTGTCGTTCAGCAAATAACTGAGCCTTAGGACTCTGAGGAAGTGTGATGGATTGGATAAAAGTTGACCATTTTGGATAAATGCCGTCCGTAAGATAGTACGCCATACGATAATTGTGGTTGTTGACCTTGAAATTAACTTTAGGACCTCGACCTTCTAAAAGGTCATCAAAAACCGGTGACCGATCAAGAACATTAATATCGTTGAGGGTACCTGGTAATCCGAAGAATGCGTGCCATATCCAAAGATCATGCGATGCCACAGCCTCCAAGACAATTGTCGGTTTTGTTGTACCACGGGTGTATTGTCCTCTCCAAGCCGTAGGGCAATTTTTCCACTCCCAGTGCATACAGTCGATGCTGCCTATCATTCCCGGAAACCCGCGAACTTCCCCAACATCAAGTAATCGTTGAAGATCATCAGGTGTAGGTCTTCGTAGATACTCATCTCCAAACAATTCTATTATTGCTTCAGTGAAATGATCCAAACATAAAAGTGCAGTACTTGCCGCAAGTCGGAGATATTCGTCAAGTGAATCTCCTGCTTGACCATATGCGAGCATTCGTATGGCTGAAGTACATTTTTGAAGAGCAGATAGGCCGTACCTTCCGTGACCATTTCTTCGTTGCTGAAAGTATGGAACTTCATTACTCAGGCGATTGACAATGTGAAGGAACAAATGCTTGTTCATGCGAAAACGACGCCTAAACATGTGAGGTGGGTATGTAGGATTTTCAATGAAATAGTCTTGCCAAAGTTGATTGTGACCTTGTTCCCGATCTCGTTCGATATAAAGTCGTCTACTCGGTTTGGTGGCTTCAACATCGACAACAGAATCGATGAAATCATCAATTTCTTCATCAACCAAATCTTCGAAAGCTTCATACACTGCATCATCTGAGGAGCTTGACATAGTTCCTTGGAGATTGTTGAGAAAAAGATTGTGTTTTTAAGTTCCTTTTAGATTGTTGAGACAGAGATTGTGTCTTTATTTAACTTTGAGAAAGATGAGAAAGAGATTGTGGTTTTATATAAGGAGAGAAATAACAGAAGGAGGTGGGTACATTCATAAACCAAAAGTGCATTATATATAGGGGGTTGATCAACCAAGTTCAAAACACAAAGAAAATGAAAACATCCGTGACCCAAACTGATACATCCGTGACCCAAACAGAAAATAGAATTGACCCAAATGATACATCCGTGACTCCAAATGACAACTAGTTCACTACAATACACTACAAGTGTAGAAAGAAACAAAACTCTA